ATGTTCTCCCGCGCCTATTATATCTCCTTCAGGCAATACGTATTACGATACCCAAAACACTCTTTAATACCCTTAACACTGTAATGAATAACTATATATGGAACAACCGTAGACCCCGAATAAGGTTAGCCACACTTATGCAACCCAAGGACAGAGGAGGTCTAGCCCTCCCAGATTTCCACCTTTACTATGTGGCCACACACCTCGGGAGGGTGATGGACGAAAGGGGAAGTACACAAGCTATGGAAGACGATAGAGGAGACAGAGGCTGGTAGACCCTGGGGCCGAGACCCCAAGGGCAAGGACGACATGTCCATATACACGAAACACACACTAGGCGTATGGGAGAGGGCTGCAAAAGTGGGGAACCTGGCACCATACCCCTCCCCACTCCTACCACCGACCCATAATGACGACTTCCCTCCAGGGTTAAATCAGAAAGCATTTAGAGGTATCCTCCCAGCCCCCTCACCACGCCTACACCACATCATAAGGGGGCGAAAATGCAGGCCACTGATGGACCTACTGGGAGAGACACCCCCGACATTCATGCACCACTTCAAATATGCTCAACTGACCAAATATGTCCATACCCTGCCACAGGGGCCAGCACTCAATAGAGACAGAACCACATTTGATCAACTATGCCAACACCCGGACCCAATCCCGCACGGAGTCTCCCTATTATATTCCACACTTCAAATAGAGACCCCCACAGAGAAACCCCTATTCATGGGGAAATGGGAGACAGCCCTAGACAGATCATTCACAGATGCGGAATGGGATTCCATCTGCTACTTCACACACCACTGCTCGACACACAGCAGAACTCAAGAGACGGCCTATAAACTATTGACACATTGGTATAAAACACCACACCTAATGCACAAAATCGACACAGATCACACAGAGATGTGCTGGAGATGTGAGAGAGAGGTGGGCACTGCACTACACATTTGGTGGGAATGTGACATGATCAAACCCTACTGGACAAGGATACATGAGATATTAGAGAAGTTCTCTGACGCGCCCCCCCCTTCCTGGGACCAGCTGAAATGCTGCTATATCATACACCCATTCCGAGATCAAAGTATAAGAACTCCATGACGGTTAGAATACTAAACGTGGCTAAACAACTCCTCCCCCAATTTTGGAAACAAAAGATAACCCCCCCCCTCTTAAAGCCTGGTTCAACCAGATGGAGGATCTATAGAGGAGCTGAACATGACAGCTTCGGCAACCCCAACGAAATACACAGACAGATGGACACACTGGATCTTAGAGACGACAAAGGAAGACTTCCAACAAGCCTCCGACAGACCAACTAGACTATAAACACTGACCACCCACTACCGCCACCCCCCCCTCACTCCCTCCTTCCCCGCAATACTACCCGCCCCCACTAGCCCCAAGGTTAATGCTTGTTAAGGGCAACCAATAGGACACAACTGCGAATAGAAACACACAATACATTGTCAACAGACAAATTATAGGAAAACCAAATGGAGAAACCCGAAACAGACAACGGAGCTAGGGAAGACAAGGGACATGAGACCCGACCGGCATAGACCATCCAATGAAGGGACCGGTTAGCCCGACTATACCCCAGAAGGTACTAGCTCGACAGAGTCACGTCAGTGTCACAGTGACCAAAGAATAAGCACAGATACAGACGGGAAGTAGGAAATGAGACCACACACAATAGACTTACACACAAGTACCACGGCAATAGCCGCACTGATACAGAGGAAAGAAAGAAAGAGAGACACGTAGATAGAAACCTAGACCAAAGGCCGTGATACAAGGGTTTAAAATCCTGAAAACAGAATGTAAGGGACCTGCATGTCCAACAAACATGTGGGCCTGCGAACCCGAACATATCCATGCATTAACTTAACATATTGCAACCCTAAGTCATATGAATACATGCAAAACTGCGGCCTGCGAGCCACATTGTACATGGCTACAAGAGAAACAAATAAAAAATTATATTTACACAAAAAAAAGGGAATCATGACATGTCACACATGTCATGTGTCCTTAATGGGTTAAAAGGATTCTCCAGTGCCAGTAAAAAAAAATTGTTTTCCTGGCACTGCAGGAACCTGTAGTGCCCCTCTCCCTCCCACCCCTTGTCCCAAGTTACTGAAGGGGGTTAAAAACCCCTTCAGTGACTTACCGGAGTCCAGAGCTGAGGTCCCTCTGCGCTGATCAGTCTCCGCCTACTCTCCTCCCCCGCTGGCTGACGTCATTCAATGCTTTCCTATGGTTATTTCGGTGACGCTGGAGGTCCTCACATAGCTTGTTTTAAGACGGCGGAAGTCCCTCTAGTGGCTGTCTGATAGACAGCCACTAGAGGAGGACTTAACCCTGCAAGGTAAATATTGCAGTTTATGAAAAAATATATACACTTGCAGGGTTAAGGGTAGTGGGAGTTAGCACCCAGACCACTCCAATGGGCAGAAGTTGTCTGGGTGCCTGGAGTATCCCTTTACCTGAATTAATTAATTAATCAGCAGCTTCCCAGAGTAACCCTTCCCAGTGGGTCACTGACTAGTAAAAGTATAGAATATAGAAAAAAAATGGGATACAGCTGCAAACCTGAAAAAACAAACAAAATAACATAGTGTAGTATCCTCTTAAACAGTGTATGACACACCAATATAGTGAACTCACAGAATGTCAGGATAAACAGTCGCCTGTAGGATGCCTCCCCCGATAGCAAGTGGGGGGCTAAACGTGATCCTCCTCTCCTTCCCTTTTTCGATATTCAGGAGTATGAACTGAGCAGAAATCAGGAAAATATTAAAAAAGCTTCATTTATTGCCAATGGTTAAAAAGTATATGAGACAAAGATAAGTCCTACGCGTTTCGTCCCAATGTTGAAACTTCCTCAGGGACTTAGTAAAAATAAGGTAAAATCACAAGCTTACAAAATGGAGTATAACAAAACTTCCTGCCACGTAGGACTTATCTTTGTCTCATATACTTTTTAACCATTGTCAATAAATTAAGCTTTTTTACTATTTTCCTGATTCCTTCTCTGTTCATACTCCTGAATATCAAAAAAGGGAAGGAGAGGAGGATCACGTTTGGCACCCTACAGGCGATTGTTATCCTGACATTCTGTGAGTCAGGATACTACACTATGTTATTTTGTTTGTTTTTTTAGGTTTCCAGCTGTATCCCATTTTTTTTCTATATTCTATATGAATGTATGTATTTAAGGCTGTCTGCCAATCATGCAGCCTGGCCAATTAAGGGCATATTATGGAGACAGCACCCTGAGCTTGGCATAAATACGCCTATTGTTGCGCTTGTGCAATGCTTTCTAAGGACTGCCCCCTACTACTCACTTGTCCACTCCTTTCCTTACCTTCTTACCAGCAGGCAGAAAATCCTGGTATACAGTCTTGGACAGAGGAAAGGTGTATGTAGTGAGTGTAATAGAAAAGGAACATGCCACAGTGTCCGAGAGACTGAAGCAGCAAAAGTATTTGCACAGAGCGCAAAGTCAGCTTTACCTTAACTAATTTCATTGTCAGCCAGTCTACACAAGTCTTGTTCCTCTTCATCCCTCTTAAGTTTCCATACTTAAGCAAGAGCATGTGAAGAGCAGTGTGTAAAAAAGAAAACAAAAGTGTTTTGTTTTTTTTAAATCCATGGGCTTGGGCCTGGGCATGGAGCCCCTATGTTAATCCGACCCTGCTTCTGGAACATCACAGCACACAAAAAGTAAACAGTTAAAATATAATGCAGAAATTGGATAACAAAAAAAAGAATTTCTCAAACTTTGTTTTAGATTTTATTCATATTAAATTATGTTTCATATTTCAATAGTTGATGTGAAATGAAAATCCCATTTCTCCTAACAATATGAAAGAGATCTATTGTGGTTGAACTGACATAAATAATAGGTTTTGGTTCAGAACTTAGACAATTACCTCCAGTTTAGGCAGCATAAGGCACCATACCAACGTCATCTAAATTAAGTTGTTATGGTGGCAGGAGGTGCATTCTTACCTTCAGGGGTTAAACTGCTCTTGAACGGTTTAACTCAAAAGCTGCTTTCAGTGCCGATTTCAGCTTCCCCTAGGCTGTATCTGGCTTCTGAAATGGCAGTTTAATGCTGCGTGGGGTGCCACCAGGCAGGGGCACTGCTGATGCTATCAGCCAGTCAGTGACTCCCCATTCACAAAACTGGCTTGCAAAAGGTATGTTCCTTTCCAAGCCTGTTTTATGAAGTGGGAGTCATTAATTGGCTTGGAGCGCCAATCGACCACTCTCAGCCAATCAACAGTGCCCCGTCTGGCCGCACCCCACTCGGCTTTAGACTGCCATTTCAGAAGCCAGATACAGCCTAGGGGAAGCTGAAATCGGCACTGAAGGAAGCTTTTGAGTTAAACCGTTCAGGAGCAGTTTAACCCCTGAAGGTAAAAATGCGCCTGGGGAACACCTTCCACCATAACAACTTAATTTAGATGAATATGGGAATATTGCTGGAGACAACTTTGAGGTTAAACTGTTTAAGAACAGCTTAACCCTTTGAGTTTGGAGTGCACCTGAGAACCTGCTGGCTCCATAACAAATTCATCTAGATGAAGTTGTTTTGGTGCCTGGACTGTTCCTTTAAGGGGTTAAAGACACAATACTAAGAGAATTATTGCTGCAGATAGAAAAGAGGGGTTTGGTTTTAAAATAGGGACTGTCCTTCCTGAATAGGGACACTTGGGAGGTATGCTGAACTCCACTCCACCTCATCATAACCCCAGCACACTGCCAGCACCTGCCTTTAACAAACATGGAGAAGAAGACTTCCGTGTACTGTCACGTGGACACCACGCGTCACGCCCGTCCCAGTCTGCCATTGGCTGACAGCATCATTAGGCGAAACGTGGAAGGAAGCGTCAGCGGAGGGGCGGGTAAACTCGCTGTCACTCAGCAGCTTTTGCAGCCTGTGATTGGTGCCCTGCCCGGGAGAGGGCGGGAGCTTCCGGTCGCTTGCTAGTCTGTGGATGGCTTCCTGTGTGTGGTAGCAGCGGGGTGAGCTTTCCCGGTATTAGCCGTGAGCCCCTCCTATTCCCTCAGAGCTCCGTCACTATGCTGTAGGCAGCCAGGAGTCCTCCTCGGTAATATTAACCCAGCCCCCCCCCCCCCTGACCCCAATTTACACCCTGCCCCCAATATACACCCTGCCCCCAATATACACCCTGCCCCCAATATACAGCCCCCTGCCCCCAATATACACCCTGCCCCAATATACAGCCCCCTGCCCCAATATACAGCCCCTCCCACAATATACAGCCCCTTCCCCCAATATACAGCCCCCCCTCCCCAATATACAGCCTGCCCCAATATACAGCCCCCCTGCCCCCAATATACAGCCCACTGCAGCCCCCCATATCTCCTCATACAGCTCTGTGACCCCCAGAAACTGCCCCCAGGAACCCCAGCTAAATCTGTGACCCCCAGGAACCCCACCAACACAACAATACCCACAGTCCATCTGTGACTCCCAGAAATACTAACAATCACTCTGTGACCCCCAGGAAAAAACACAACAATACCCACAATCACTCTGTGACCCCTAGAAATACCCACAGGAACCCCAGCTAAATCTGTGACCCCCAGAAAAAAACACAATACTCACAGTCCCTCTGTGACACCCAGAACTGCCCACAATCACTCTAAGACCCACAGGAACCCCAGCTAAATCGGTGACCCCTATAATACGCACAATACCCACAATCACTCTGTGACCCCTAGAAACTACCCAGAAATACCCGAGGTAACTCTGTGACCCCTAGAAACAACCCACACTCACTCTGTGTCCCCCTAGAACTACCCACAATCACTCGGTGACCCCAGAAATACCCCAGGTAACTTTGTCACACCTAAAAACAACCCACAGGAACACCAGCTAAATCTGTGACCCCCTATAATCAACAATACCCACAATCACTCCGTGACCCCTAGAACCAACCCATAAATAACCCAAATTACTCTGACCCCTAGAAACAACGCACATTACCTTCAATCACTCTGTGACCCCTCTGTGACACAAAATACCCACAATCACTTTTTGATTCCTATAAACAGCTTCACAATATCCACAATTACTCTGTGACCCCTATAAACACAACATAGCCCAAATCACACTGTGACCCCCTATAACCCACATGTAACACCCACAATTACTCTTTGAGCTATTGAAATAGGCATATACAACCCAATAACTTTGTGACCCTTTGAAATACCCTATATATACACCACCAAATAAATTTGTGACTCCTTTAGCCAATCAAGTGATAACCCACAGATTAATGTGACCCTATAAGCCAACACAGAGACTCATGGAGTACATATAAACAAATTACAGATACCTCAAATAACTCCTCACCAACATAAACAACTCCAAATATACCGGTATCTGTGACCTCTGTAAACGTACCCAAAGATACACTGATTCTCCCTGTAACCCTTTCTATAGGAGTACTGTGACACCATAAAATAAAAGTTATTTGTACCCATGTATTTGTGGCTTAAAACCTGAATACACCGCACAGAAGGCAAATATTTTACGTGCATTCTGCCCATTATATAACAAAGGCACAGAGCCTCGAATCCCAAGCATCTCTGGAGATACTATTGTCACCTTATTGTCCAGGCTTGTTATAGATAGAAAGTATACATGTTTGTGTTCTGTTACCCAGAATCACTCAGAAAAGCCCTTACTCTGTGACATCCCCACTGTCATCCTCCTGCTGCACCCCTATAACTTTCCATCACATTCCTACATATCCCCCCTCCATCTGTAAATGGAACAGAAATCAAAAGGAAAGCTGTTGGTGTCCACCAGTCTTGATGCTAAAGATGAACTGGAAGAGGTAAATCATCCATTTTACATTTATTCGCAAATTACAGAATCTATGTCTTTCAAACAAACAGCACCCTGCAAAAAAAAAAAGGATTTTTTTCTTTTCTTTTGTAACAGAGCATTTTTATTTTAAACATGACTGACTTTTTAACCTTTTGCATAGCAGGGTTTTTAACACAACCAAAATAAAGTTGCAAATATAAAAAAAAAAAAAATCCTCAAACAAAAAACTATGAAATAGAATATGGTGACAGTGGCAGCATGTCATCTGTAACATTCTGATGTGAAGCATAAATCTTAAAAATAACAAACAAACAAAAAAACACTATCCTTATTGCTTCATAGTAAGTGTGCAGTCACGATTAGAAAACAGTTTTAATGTAACCCATCAGGTCTAGCACCTCACCCTTTCTCCTGGTTGTTGCTGCATTTTGTACAATTTGTTGTAGTACAATTAAACATTTTTTGTTTGTTTTTGTTTCAGTACATATACTTGCTATTCTACTGAGGAGTTGGTATTTAGCATAAATTACTAACAGCGGTAGATTTATTTCTTTAGAATGAACAGTTTCATACGCATTCCGTTCTTTTTGCAAAATCCCATGATGGGGAATTCATAATACACCAATTTCCGAAGCTGAACTGTAGGTTGCTATTCTATTTTGCAGTGAATGGACTGACAGCTCTGCACGTTTCCAACGACTCCTTATTCCACAAATGGCTCCCCTATAGCGGCATGTCAATGTAAATGACAGCTCTCTGCCATTATGTTTTTGTTATCAGACATTGCTATCAGTCTGAGAGCTAGACTGTGACAGCTGTCACTCACATAATGTGTGTTCATCGAGGGAATCACATACTATTTAAAGCGTAGACCTCGCTGCTTGATATAAGAGCAAATTGTAGTTTAATTATCTTTCACACATCTTTATTCTTAAAATATGGTTATTTGAGTTAATAAAATTCGCTCTGCTTTCTCAATTTATTTCACAGCTAAAAATAAATGTCAGTCATAATGGCAGCATATACAATATGGGGTCTGTTGACTTAACATTTATAATTTGATATCAGTCTCGTCAGTTTGAGACGTCAATTATTTTAACCTCAGTTTTAGGAGTCTGGTCTGCTCTACACAGATCAATATTTAACGAACCTCTAATGTGAACGGTCGTGCAATGTATGTTAGTACAGTACAATTCTCTGTTCTGTTCTGTTGCAGCAAATGGGTAACTAAAAATTAATGTGGAAGAATTTGGGCTCTAAAAGGTGCTCTTTGCAGTTATATTGACATAACTTGATGATGGCTAGCCAGCGTGAGTTCTTGCTTCCCGTGCAGAGAGTTTACCCATGCATTTCACTCTTTGACACCTCTTGTAGCCTCTAAGTCTGTGTGGATTATGTTTTTTCTAAATGTCTGCACAATGTTTTGGCCCCCAGCTGTTCATACTTCTGTGGTATAATTTAATTGAATAAAGCCAAGCTTTATCAGGATGCAGTTGCCTTGGCATTTTCTAAAGCTGACTGGGTGCTCCAGTGAGCACTTTTTGCACCTTGAGCAGCCCTTTCCATATCGATCTTCAACCCTCTTAGTATCAGCACAACATACTATTCGTTTTCTTTCTGATGTCTCAAATATCATACTTTTTTTTTTGCAAGGACCTATTTTTAAATAGTTTATCATACAAGTTGTTCATTGATTTATTCATAGTATTCTTATTTCTGTTAGCAGAGATTAGTTTACATTATGTACAGTTCATGAAACTGTTGTGCTTCCCACAGGAGTCTGAAAAGTAAAAAAAAAAAATATCTTTAATGATAACCCATCACATGTAAACAGCCAAGCTACTAAGGGTTGGCACTGTTATGATGTACTTCTGCAGAAGCTGATCCACTTGCCGTTCATTGGCTGACACTGTCAGGTGACCACTCTCAGCCAATGAATGGCACCCTGTGCAAAACAAATATGCACAGAATTGACATTAGCCAGCCCTGCACTCTAGTTCTGGGCTGGTTAATGACGTTGCCACAGGTGGAGTTACAACTCCGGCATGCAAGTGGTTAAACGCGGTATGTGCAGCGTTTCAGATAGTAATGCAGTGCATACAGACTGCTGGCACTATGACCACTTCAAGCCACTGAATTGGTCATGGGGCTTGGAGTACCCCTTTAAATGTGTGGTTGTAATTATTCTACTTATTCATTTTATTATTTTGCTTTTTTTTTTTTTTTATCTATAAAATGCATAGCAAACAATGGATCAAATCCAGCCAGAAGTGTCAATTCAATATGTAAAAAAAGTTAAAGGAACACTAAAGGTTCAGGAGCACAAACATGTATTCCTAACCCTATAGTGTTAAACCCACCATTTAGGTGGCTTGCCCCCTTAGAATGAGTTAAAATTCACCTTATTTTAAGCTCTCCATGGGTCTGCCGGTGCTGGCCCCTCCTCCTTGGTGACATAATCAGAATAGCTGATTTTTAGCCAATCCAATGCTTTCCCAATGGATTGGCTAAAATCGTTAAGGGGCGGGGCCAAATGCTGTTTTGGCCAATCAGCACCTCCTCATAGAGATGCATAGAATCAATGCATCTCTATGTGGAAAATTCAGCATCCCCATTCAAAGCGTGGAGAAACTGAACGGCAATGCTGCCTACTGTGCGGCGTTGAGCCAGGAAGCACCTCCAATGACCATCTAAGGAGTGGCCACTTGGAGGTGTCCCTAGGGGCAATGTAAACACTGCCTTTTTTTGTTCTGTCTCTCACTGTTAACCCCTTAAGGACGGCGGGCGTGCTATGCCGTCCTTGGGGACCCGGCTCTAAACGCCGGCGGGTGGCATAGTACGTCCCCGCTGTCCTATGCACTTACCTGCTCGCCGATCGCGATAGGGGATTAGCATTGCGAGGACCTCATGATCACTTGGACGGAATAGCCGTCCATAGCAATGCCAGCAGGGGGAGTGCCTGGAATGTCAGGTAGTCCCTCTGCTGCCTGTAATAAAATGAAATAAAGTTTAAAAACTAGTTTTAAAATTAAATATATACTTAAATCATATATATATATATATATATATATATATATACACACACACACTCTGTCGAAGTTTATTTTAGTGTATATATAGATATATATAAAATCATAATCAAAATACACATAGAATGATATTAATTAAATATATATTATAAAATAAATATATAAATACAAATTATTTTAAAAAATGTACATGTGTAATTTCGTTCTAACTGTATTTTGATATTATATATTGATATCAAAATACACTTAGAACAAAATTATATATATCTATATGCATAAATATATGTATATACCTATGTATATATTTATGTATTATTTGTACATAATTGTCATTTTATTCATTACAATTTGCGGGACCTGCCTGATAACCCAGCAGAAAGTCCAGAGATTCTAATTTGCTAGCACTATATTTAACCCTGTAACTTTCCAAGACACCCTAAAACCTGTACATGGTGGGTATTGTTGTACTGTGAAGCCTTCACTGAACAAATATTAGGTTTCAAAACAGTAAAATGTATTACAAAAATATCATCAGTAAAAATGCATTTTTTTGCATTTTTCACACACAAACGGCAGTTACGCTGACGATATAATTGTTGTGATACGTTTTACTGTTTTAAAACACTAATATTTGTGTTCAGCGAAGTCTCCCAAGTATAACAGTACCCCTCATGTACAGGTTTTATGGTGTTTTCAAAAGTTAGAGAGTCAATATATAAGGCTTGTGTTTCAGTTTCTTCACATAGAAATTCTCCAGATTGGTTACCTTGCCTTTGAGACAGTATGGTAGCCCAGGTATGAAAATTACCGCCATAATGGCATACCATTTGCAAAAGTAGACAACCCAAGGTATTATAAATGGGGTATGTCCAGTCTTTTTTAGTAGCCACTTAGTCACAAACACTGGCCAAAATTGGCGTTCAAATTAGTTTTTTACATTTTTTTTACACACAAACAAATATTAACACTAACCTTGGCAACACCATAACTTTTGAAAACACCATAAAACATGTACATGAGGGGTACTGTTATACTCGTGAGACATCACTCAATATAAATGTGTATTTTATTGCAGTAAAAACTAACAGTATTATGACATTCACAGTTAAAATGTCATGCAGAACTAACAAAATAACAATTTCTTAATTTCTCACACTTTTTTAATATTTTATTCATATTAAATTGTTTCATTGCTAAATATTTGATGTTAAATGAAAGCTTTATTTCTCCTGAAATAAAATGATATATACTAAGTGTGGGCGCACTTATAGGACCACTATAGGCACCCAGACCACTTCAGCTCAATGAAGTGGTCTGGGTGCCAGGTCCCTCTAGTTTTAACCCTGCAGCTGAAAACATAGCCGTTTCAGAGAAACTGCCATGTTTCACTGAGGGTTAATCCAGACTCTAGTGGCTGTTTCAATGACAGCCACTAGAGGTGCTTCCGCGATTCTCATTGTGAAAATCAGTGAGAAGACGCTGAACGTCCTTAGGAAAGCATTGAGTAATGCTATCCTATGGGCGGTTTGAATGCGCATTCGGATCTGATGTCGGCAGGAGGTGGAGAGTTCCCCAGCACAGAGGAAGCCCGGCGCTGAAGAAAGGTAAGTGGCTGAAGGGGTTTTAACCCCTTCAGCCCAGCGGGAGGGGCGCCCTAAGGGTGGTGGGGACCTAATGACCCTATAGAACCAGGAAAACGAGTTTGTTTTCCTGGCACTATAGTGCTCCTTTAATATGAAAGAGGTGAATTACGGTTTAACAGACATACAGGTGATACTCGAAAAAATTAGAATATCGTGCAAAAGTTAATTTATTTCAGTAATGCAACGTAAAAGGGGAAACTAATGAGATAGACGCATTACATGCAAAGCAAGATAGTTCAAGCCATGATTTGTCATAAGTGCGATGATTATGGCTTACAGCTCATGAAAACCCCAACTGTATACTTATCTGTATACTCAAACTCCAAGTTTTGTTTACGTTTTATTTTGATTAAAATGTGTACATTTGGCTTAGTCCATAAGGGGTTAAAATACACCTACCTTAAAAATTACAGACTGATTAGTTGTTTGTTAGTAGACAAACGTTCAAAATCAGCAGGGGATCAAATACTTTTCCCCCCACTGTAGGATATTAGGGAGAGAGCGTGTACATGGGGTAAAGTTGTGAAGGATTTGGAGATGAGAACTAAAAATTTCAATTAATTTCTCATCGGAAGCTAATTACAAGTATGACAAAGGAGAGAGGCTTGAAAAGAGAAGTGGTGGGTACGGAAAATAATGGATTGTGATAGTGATGGATGACAGCAAGTGCATGAAGAAACAATGGCTGCATCTTGAGTTGGAAAAGGCAGGTGCAAACTATGTTTAAGATGGAACTGTCAGGATTTGGAAATTGGCTGAATGTGATGTACGATGCCATGCGTGCAATAAAACAAAATGCTTGTGAGTTAAGGTTAGTGGTTGGACTATTTACCTAAATGAAAACTCACAGTGGGGGTTACTTTTAAGAGCCGAAAGAGATGAAGTTATGTGTTAGGATGATTGAGTGGTATTGGAATCCAAATGCCGTGATATGAATGTACGGAAAGGAATTATAAAGTGAAAACAGAAGGGGTTCCAGAACAGAATTTCAAGGAACTCAACTCCACTTCTCCTGATAGAATCCAGGAGGCCGGTGTTATCCCTAATAGTTTCAGTGATCACTATTTAGTGTACTGCGTGCGCAAAATAAAGGCTATTAAATCATCTCCCAAGATTAAAATCACCAGGTCCTTCAAAAAATGTAATCTTGAATCCTTTCTTAATGACATCAAGAACCTCCCATGGCACAGATTAAACATTATCCCAGATCTAGACTGTGCTGTTGAATTCTTTCAGTCTGAACTCCTAGAAATTTGGAATTTGCATGCCCCGCTGCGTAAGGTGAGAGTAAAATGAGCACATATGAATTGGATCACAGCTGACCTCATCCAAATGTACCAGTTTTGGGATTCTTTGTGGTCCAAGTTCAAGCATACTGGCTCTATTAATGTTCTCTGTGCATATAGACAAAACAAACAAAATTGGATAACCGAACCCTGCAAATGCCTTTAACAATTATTTTTTCTGATGCTCCACTGCCTTGATTGCCAAGCTAATAAATGACACGCATCCTGAAACTACAAATATAGATCAGGCCCAACTAAATTTGCAAAGACCCAATATAGACAAGTTTAATTTTAGACCTGTACCTATTAGTGACACAGTAGACCACGACATTCTACTGCACAAACTCAAAACTTAGAAAAATGTGTCCATACACAACTATGTGAGTATTACCAACAATCAAACTATGTGACCCCCGATCAATCGGGCTTTTGCCAGAATCACTCCACTTGTACAGCAAATGCTGAAGCCAGTCATTGATTATGGAGATGTAGTATATGCATCTGCACCACAATCCCACATTAATAAACTCAACACATCGTATAACTCATTCTGCCGATTTGTGCTACAATGTAATTACAGTACTCACCATTGTGACATGCTAAAAGAACTAAACTGGCTGTCGCTGGAAACCAGACGCACCCTTCATCTTTCCAGCCTTGTGTTTAAGAGCTTTTCTGGGAAACTCCCACCCTACCTGAGCAGAATGCTCTCCTATAACCTCCGATCCAGTACCAGCACTTTTAGTCAGTTTGCCTCAATTCAAAAAGAAAGCGGTCCGATCCTCCTCCTCCTCCTACTACAGAGCGCCGCAATTGTGGAACAACCTACTGCACACTTTAAAATCTTCCCCAAGCCTAAAGTCCTTTAAGAGATCCCTCTCTACATACCTCAAAACAGAATACACATGTCATGGTTGCTTATATATTTGCTACCTGCTCTATGTTATGTTTTGTATATATTGTGTATTAATATTGTTTTTGTATTTTATTGTACCCTAATGTAACAATGCAATGTTTTGTGGACCCAGGGCATACTTGAAAACGAGAGAAATCTCAATGTATCTTTCCTGGTAAAATATTTTATAAATAAATATAGCAGAGAGGAGGTGGAAAAACAAACATTTAAAGTGCTATGGGGGGCGAACGACTAGAACAAGGAAAGAACATTGTCAGAGAGACCAAGGTTACGAAGGATATAAATTAGAAACCGTTTCACATTGTGTTTGGAACAGTATCAAACGTGACAGAGCAGTTCATTTTCTGTTGATACATTCTTTAGTTTCAGAGGCAGGTAACCTTCGACACGCCAGATGAACTACATCTCCCTTGATGCTTTGCAAGTATTATGGCTGTAAGAGCATTATAGGACAAGCAGTCGACAACATCTGGAGTGCCGAAAGTTGTCTACTGTTACTCTAGATCAGGGTTAGGCAACCTTTGGCACACCAGATGTTATGGACAACAACTCCCTTGATGCTTTGCTAGCAATATGGCTGCAAGAGCATTATGGGAGATGTAATCTACAACATCTGGAGTGCCGAAGGTTGCCTCCCCCTGCTCTAGAGCATAGGTCCATTTTAAGTTCCAACCTAAAATACTGTTAAATATCAGGACAATTCTACTCACAGATCATTCCTATATGGAGAATAAGAGTATGGTTTATTAGCGCTTTAGTGTGCGTTTCTTCACGGAAACGCCTGGCATAATTCTTCAGAATCTACATTCAGTGCTCAGAGCAAATAGGTGGATCTTTTATCCCAGTGAAATGTAAATCACATTTTAATTGCATTCGTGCAGTGCAGAAACCAGTCAGCTTTGACTCTTACTGCATAATTGTGTTTTTTTTTTTTTTTTTTTGTTTAAATTTAAATCATTGTAGATTTCTTTTTTCTCTGTCAAAGGAAATCAGGCAGGCTCCTAACATGTTTTCTCTTCTGTGATGATTTTCCTTTAACAGCAGAATCATTTTTAATTAACTACTCAGTCTTCACCGTGTGTGCATTTCTCAGAGAATGTTTTTTTTGTAGTTTAGGAAAAGACATTCAGAACACAGTTATATAATTATATCGTTATAGTGCAGCCATAGATTTGCATAGTCGTGAATATAGTGTATGAATATATAGTATTTATGGAGGGATGTCCCCATAGCTTTGTGAAGCCCAGTGGTTTATTCCTACAGGATGTGTTTGTTGTCCTTTCACCTTATTTTCACATGTTAAAAAAAACCTGACACTAATCATTGGAGATGACCCCAATGCATTGACTTTCTTTCCCCATTTTCACTCACACATTTTGAAGTTCTCTGGACAAGTGGGTTATCTCCCAATGATTGGTCCACCTGTGCTCTATTGAGAGTGCCTATAGTCTACCCTTCTTCTAAGTATATGTTCTGGATGGAGCTTTGCAAAGTGGATGTGGATTGATTGAAGGGCTGAAAATGGAGCAATCACCATGGATACCAATTGTATCGGTAGAAACACTACACTCATACCTATGGTTACTGGTGTAATTTTAGAACTTTGCCCCATTTTTCTGTAACAGCCATTTTAAAATTAATTTTCCCAGTGGTTTTATTATTCCAGTGAATAAATATAGAGCTTATTCTCTCTTGCTGCCTAGTCCAGTCCCACATAATGTGGGTTTAGTTATTAAATGTCAGTAAAGGTTCTTACCTCTGTTATTGGCATTATTTTACTCTTAGAGATTTGTCACATCTTACGTGTATAACTGTAAAGGACTGTTCTAGTCATATTGTTTAGATGTGAGCCCTCGTTGGATGCCCTGCAGTGACTGTAATATATAGAGCAGATCGTCATGAAAGGAGAGGTACCCTGGGAGGAACCCCAGGTGCACAAAAAGGGAAATAGAGAGAACAAATTATCTACATCTGTCTACCCCAACTGTTCTGTTACAACACGTTAGAAAGTGTGGCTGGTCTCTGAAGAATTAAATAACCACGCAAGCAGACAAATTACTGCTGTCACTGCTTTTGAAATTGCAGCTATTGATGGGGCCAGACCTGTATGATAGTGATTTTTTTGGGGGGGGGGTGGGAGATGTACTGCTTTCTTTTTGCTGCCAATCACTTTCCAAGTAGTTAATTTAGCTAATTTTAGCCATATTTAAGGATGAACTCAAAGAGCAAACTCATACCACAGGTATTTGTCAGTTTCATAGAGCTACTATTACTGACACTCTAGGCACCAAAACAACATTATCTAGGGGGCGGGGCCTGACTGCCATTGAGGGAAGACGTGCCTAACTGAAGCTCCTGACTAATCTGTGTAAAAAAGCTAAAAAGGCAACTCCAAACCTCATGAAACGGCACACACTGACCCCAAGCGACGACCTGGTACTCAGTCCACACGGTGAACCGGTGATGCGGCCCATGAATGGACAACGGACAGCAGGCTATACCCGCGGAGGCATGTGGCGGGGAGCAGCGGCCGAGTTCCCAGCCTGGAGCAGCCCTAGAGCTGATTGCCACACGCGGGTACCCCGCAACCCACCCCTATGGACCGGTGGGGGTGATCCCGGTCCACTACTGGGAGTCCTCCCAGCCATGGCAGACACAGAGAAACCCATCGTGGGCCAAGAGACTCACCAAAGATGGCGGCGACCACGCAGCCTGTGAGCAGCCAGGTGGAACAACAAGCCCCTGTGTCCAGCTTGGAACAAATATTTATAAATTTCTGGCAGAAGCTTGAATGCAGTCTGCGACAGGGAATCCAGCAGATATCAAACTTAAGCTTCCCACCATGCCATTCACTGCCCGACCCACAGCGAAAATTGGCACACCCGAAGAGACCCAAAACTGCGAGAAGGCGGCAGAGAAACAGGCAGGTACCTTACCCATTCAGGGTGATGAAGAGAAGAACATCGCAGAACCTAAACACTCTAAAGCCAGCAACGATATCAGAGGAAGAGGCTCTACCTAGGTTGCGGCTCATACAGTGTCCCTCCCAAGTTTAGGAACACGCAGCAGCAAGAACCCGCAATGAAGGACTCGGCTTGGAGGGCACGCAAACAGCAAAGGCCTCTGAAACCCTCAGCAGCACAGAGGTGGGCACTGACCTGGAGCAAACCGCAGCCCTGCATTGAGCTCAACAAGACACGGAGAGCCTTGATTCAGGACACTGAAACGCATGGCCCCTTACCGGTGATTCAAAAACTGGCGCACACCAGCAGCGACAGGGACTATGCTCTGCTGAAGCGAGGCATAGGGTGAATGGGGGGCTATGGAACGGCAGCAACAGAGGGCCCTGCTGACTATACTTTACCTGCGACCTGACTCGCTTACTAAACAAACACAGTCAGCAGTTTACATGTCTCAAACAACTCGCCTACAAACTCACTGCATTGTTTTGCCTGCCGCTAAGTCTGACCCACAAAGTTGGTAACCTATGGTATACCCTTCATTCTGTGTCTCTCTGACTCTTCTCACCTGTCAGGCTCGCCTTGATTTTTTACTATAGCGAGAATCTAAGCAGTTATAAATATAGCATAAGCATAAATGTTGGACCCTCACAGAAAAGCAATGCCATGTATTCAAATTAACCTTATAGAGACCAAACTAAGTATAAGCTTGTCTAGCTTAGCATGTTTAAACTAATTTACTTATGTTATAAAGCAAGATATTTTTGTTTTCCTGTAAAGAGTCATGTAATGTTTACACTAACTTTTTTCATGTATTTCTAACTTTAGAGTGTTTTACAAACTATTAGTTAAAGAGTTTAACTTCCCTTTAGTCACCACTCCTCCCTAGGCTGAATTCATCAACCAATCCCTAGGGGGAAGAACTGGGGAATTAGGGCGCATGCGCAGCAATCGGCGTGCTGTTTAAATCCACATTTCTTCATGGAAAGGTTCGGCATCTACATGCAGTGTGAAACTGTTGAATGTCTGCCCTGCAAATGTTGCAGGATCCTTCAGGAAGGGCCCCTAATGCACTGCTTGACAAATTTGCTTGGAATCTAGGAGCCAGCTAAAAGTTTTAGGAGCCAGTCTTCTTGTTGTTGTTGTGTGTGTTTTTTTTGTTTTTTTTTGTTTTTTTTTTAAATCAAAGTTTAGTTTTCAACAAAAAAATGACATTTTTAAATGGACATTATGGTTTTGCAGAACCATTACAGCTTAACTTAGTGGTTCCGGTGTCAATATCCAGTCCCTGCAGACTTATCAATGTAAACATTGCCTTTTCAGAGAAAAATTGCTGCTTAGTAACACCTCCAGTGACTGTCACTCAGACGGCTACTATAGGTAATTCCTTGTCTAGTGCTACACACTGTGCAGCGCCTACATTCAGCATTTCCACACTCTGCATGGAAGCGCTGAATGTTCCGCATAGAGATGCATTGATTCAATGCATCTCTATGAGAAGATGCTAATTAGCGCATGCAGTGGCGTACACATGACCCATGGGGCCCCGGTGCGAAAATTGATCCGTGGGCCCCCCCCCCAGTGCGCGGGCCGGGCTGCAACACATGGCGGTGGGCACCTGGTCGCAGGGGTTACAGATGCACACACACTTTAAGGACCACTCTAGGCACCCAGACCACTTCAGCTTAATGAAGTGGTCTGGGTGCCAGGTCCAGCTAGGGTTAACCCATTTTTTCATAAACATAGCAGTTTCAGAGAAACTGCTATGTTTATGAATGGGTTAAGCCTTCCCCTATTTCCTCTAGCGGCTGTCTCATTGACAGCCGCTAGAGGCGCTTGCGTGCTTATCACTGTGATTTTCACAGTGAGAGCACGCCAGCGTCCATAGGAAAGCATTATGAATGCTTTCCTATGTGATCGGCTGAATGCGCGCGCAGCTCTTGCCGTGCGTGCGCATACAGCCGACGGGGAGGAGAAGAGGAGGATCGGAGGAGAGCTCTCCGCCCAGCGCTGGAAAAAGTTTTACCCCTTTTCCCCTTTCCAGAGCCGGGTGGGAGGGGGTCCCTGAGGGCCACTACAGACACCCAGATTACATCAGCTCAATGAAGTTGTCTGGGTGTCAGGTCCCTCTAGTTTTAACCCTGCAGCTGAAAACATAGCAGTTTCAGAGAAACTGCTATGTTTCATTAAGGGTTAATCCAGCCTCTAGTGGCTGTCTCACTGACAGCCGCTAGAGGAGCACACTGAACGTCCATAGGAAAGCATTGAGTAATGCTTTCCTATGGGCGGTTTGAAAGCGTGCGCGGTCTCATTCGGAGCTGAGAGGCTCAGGGATCCCCAGCGCCAAGGGAGTCCGGCGCTGGAGAAAGGTAAGTGCTGAAGACACACATACTCTCACTTACAGAAGCATACACACTAGCTAACAGACACACACATTTACTGACAGAGACACACTCAGCGACAGACAGACATACACACTCACACACTCACTGACAAAACATACACTCTCATTGACAAACACACACTCACTAACAGACATCAAACAGACTCAGTAAGACACTCACGCTAACTCTCACGCTAACTCTCACGCACACTCAAACACTAACACTTTTTTTTTGTTTTGTTTTTTAAATGTAATCCCCCCAGCCTCCTTACCTTTTGGAGTGCTGGGGGGATTCCCTGGGGTCCAGTGGTTCTGCTGGGCTCCTGGGCGGGTGGCCGGTCGGGCAGGCGGGCGCGCGAGGGAGCACTCAGTGCTTCCTCTTCAGCTCCCTCGCGCGCCGCGTAGGGATGCCGGCGCCGGAAGATGACGTGCGGTGCGCGAGGGAGCTGAAGAGTAAGCACTGAGTGCTCCCTCGCGCGCCCGCCTGCCCGGTGACAGCAGGGCCAGCCTCGGGGGGCCCTGGGGTGGTCGGCTCCTGGGCCCCCCAGGGGAAGAGGCTGGCCCAATGGCGTACATACTGGGTCACAGGGGCGGCCGGGCCCCCTGGTGGGCCGGGCCCGGTCGCAGCCGCGACCCCTGCGACCCTGGTATGTACGCCACTGAGCGCATGCGCAATAACTCCTAATGAATTCCTATGGGAAAGCATTGGTTTGGCTGAGATCATCAAGATGGTATTGTAACCTTAAGGTCTAAATCACAGGTTTTCTCATTGTGGACCCTTGGAAGTGTTTACAGTGAATCAAGGTAATCAGTATTTGAGATAGGACAATCTTTCTTCAATTTGTATTCCTTTTAATGTATGGGATTTCTCTTGTTTTCATGGTGAATCACTAAGTAATGAATAGAAATCTGGAGGGAAACATCTGTGTCCCTAACCTGCACTACTGAACATGCATTTAACGACAGCAAGGCTGTACACAGCTGACAGAGCTTAATAAGCAGGATAACATAAGCACATATTGTGACGTCAGAAAAACATTGTTGGTCCTTAACCGTTAATATCCAGATCTCTCTGTATCCAACCACATCCTGCTCGTATGACTGCCGATTATACCTGCAGACCTGAAATGAATTTGATAAATGAGATTGTGTGAAGAACGTCTGTTTTCTGTGATCTTTCCTCAGAAAATCATGCTCTTATCAGTCAGTTTGCTGCAAACCTTTTGGGTACTTTACAGCTTTCTGAAGTCTTCTGGTGTCTGCCTTCCATTCCCTGAAAGAACCATAGTTTTAGATTGTCACCTTAATGCAGGGGTACCCAAAACATAGATACCCAAATGTAGAACTACAATTCCCACGATGCTTTGTACGATTTTATCATGCCTTTAGAATGGAAGTTGTAGTTTTAAAACATCTGGGGATCTACCTTTTGAGCACCCCTGCCTTAGAGGGATCTTTTCACAGAGTGGGAGATAATTTTATCACTGTTTAACTAAGCAGTACCAGTGCATGACCCGTGTCCTAGATTGTAAACCCATTGGAGCATAACCGTACACGTTTTGTCAGTCAACCTTACTTTTGCCTGTCTGTTACTTGCTGTTATGTATCCCCAATGTATAAATGTAAAGCACTCCATACATTTTGGCACTATATAAATGCTACTAATAAGGGTTAAAGGGACATCTCAGATGTAGTGGTTATAAAGTTTGAAATCCCCAGGTGCCATTCTTCCATTCAATGTTCAGCCATTTTGAGAGTCATCTGTGCTGCTTGAGCTAATGAGGTATAAGTATAAGACTGAGCAGTAACTGTCTAATGTGATTGGCCTTGAGTGTCAGCTGACTGCTTTCAGCCTATCACAGCTCCCATTGCTGGTATAAATTGGTATGGCTACAAGGAAGCATGCAATCTGTGCCTTAGCCATACCTCCTGTCGGAACTTATCTGTGGGTGGCTCATTCAGTGTTAAACTGCTCAACAATGGTTTAACACTTGATGGAGGGACAGCTCCAGGGGGCTACAGGTACTTAAAACCAATTCAATTAAATTAATTGGTCATAAAGCCTGCACTGTCCCTTTAAGTATCCCATTCCTCTTTATCTGTCTTAGGCTGATCACTGCAAGTTTACTCTGATTTTTGATTATTTTTTTAGAGTAATTTGGGCCTTTGCTCCATGTGCATGGCAATTTATTTTTCTTTTTTCATTCCATTTAGCCTGCAAATTATTTAACCAGCAAATTACTTTGAAGGTACATTGTGTCTGGCGGTCTTTTCATGCTTTCTCTCTAATGGGTGTTTTCAGCACAGCTCTTTCATCCCATTAAGATGTTATACTGAAAATTACTGAAGCCGATTCTAGGTTTTTACTTTATTTTTATTAAAAAAAACAAACCTGGCAACCTTGTAGACCTTACTGCCTCTACTTAATCCACTGGGCAGTTTGCAGTGGCACCCCGAGATAATGACATGGGGCAGACTTTGCTACTGCAAAGCCTTTTGTCTGTGGTAGTTCACTCTAAAATCCACTACTTAATAAGCCTATTAAACAGTGTGGGCCATTTCTACAAAAGCAGAGGCCTCATAGTGTTTAGTTCATTTTTGTTACTGAATGGAGCTGAAACTGAGTCGTAGCAAATCGCTTGGTGAAAATGAGGACAATCATGAAGGAGTGAAGACGATGCAGGAGCAGTGTGAGGATCGAGACCCCCAGAAATGTCAGAAGGTGGAGGCTGGCAAAAGCATGAAACTAAATAAATGGTCAAGAATTAGACAAATTTCAACCCGCCAGATCAAAGATAACTTACACTTGAGATGACAAGAAGTGGCCTATGACGTAACCCCCAGTAAATTTGCTTGTCACAGCCACGTGCCAACATGGATTAAACCCATTGTGTACTTTGGGTCACAGGGCTTTAATGATCAATGCAGTGGCATAAGTAAAACATATGACAGTGCATTGTTGGAAAGCAGATTGGAATCCAGAAAACAGGAACCAGGAAACAGATGGGATAACTGGTATGAGGGACCCTGGAAAACTAATCCCAGAACCAGGAGCTAACCTTTGAATCAATCTAGTAACTGAGCCCTGTATTGTGGAAGACAGCTTGTAAACAAGCTTGTGGACACACAACACCATATCGTGAATACAATAGAAGCAACTTGATTATTCTAGAACACTTCAAATTACACAGAGAGAATCCCGTATGCACTGAATGTGTGATCACAACAGTGTTCTGTGCTGTTATACTTTTATTCAGAAATCTAATTGGTCACTTGCTGCATATGAACAGACATCATTTAAAGGGACACTATAGTCACCAAAACCACCTTAGCTGAATGAAGCAGTTTTTTTTTTTTTGGTGTATATATCATGCCCCTGCAGTCTCACTGCTCAATTCTCTACCATTTAGGAGGTAAATCACTTTGTTTATGCAACCCTAGTTTCCTGTATAGAAACATCTAATGTTTACACTTCCTTTATTGCAAATTCTGTTGAATTTATAGTTTATCTCCTGCTCTGTTAATAGCTTGCTAGACCCTGCACAAGCCTCCTTTGTGTGATTAAAGTTACATTTAGAGAGCAGGAGATAAAAACTTTAAAAGTAAGCTATCTGATTGAAAGCGAAACTATTTTATTTTCATGCAGGCTGTGTCAGTTACAGACAGGGGAGGTGTCACCAGGGCTTCATAAACAAAATTGATGGCAGATAAACAAACAGTGAAATTGCAGGAGCATGATCTATACAGAACAATTGATTAAGCGAATTTCATTAAGTTAAAGCTGTTTTAGTGACTATAGTGTCCCTTTAACTTAAATCTAAAGGGGGGACGTCGTTGATTTTACATCAAACAGATGTGTGAGCTTATTTCACATCGTTGAGTTTAATAACCAGAACCTTAGATAGATCTGGTAGGTTTATAGGTTTAGCATTGAGTTCTGCTGGGTCAATGAAGAATGCAGAGATCCTTTGTAGCATCCACAATGTAAAAGGTTAGTCTAATGGAAATTTTATTAGGTAATGAATTAAGAAAGGTAAGAATTTTATTAAATAAAAATGTAATCTTTTTACGTATCCATCTATATAATACTTAGTGGGTCTGTCTGCATCTGTATGGAGACTCCTCTCACACCAGGATGAGATGCTCCAATCAGATGTCTCATTTGGAGATATGTGGACAGATTCTTTTTAATATATATATATATATTTATTTTTATCCTGGGAGTAGGGGATGTTGTGGGATAAAGTGCAGTCCCAATAATTACATAGAATAATTGGAAATGCTCTGCAAATTGGTTGGAGCCAAACTGTAGTTGCTGTCGGTTTGCATCACTATTTAGGGAACTGGTCTATGTTTCAGTATTGGGAAAGCATTGGACTGCACTGCAGCTTGGCGCTCTCTCTGGAGGAGAGAGGGCACCTTCCTTATTGAGCGTACAGCATGTACACACCATGCAAAATAGGGACAAAACGGACACTGGCAACAGAGAACTAAGTGATCTGGGCTGTCTGGTTAGCAGTAACTATTACAAATCACTGCCACTATAACCCACTCTCAGAAATGACAATGGGTGCTCTAAGCAATAATGCAAAATGGGTATAGTGTGTAACCTGGCTATTTAACCCCTTAAGGACACATGATGTGTGACATGTCATGATTCCCTTTTATTCCAGAAGTTTGGTCCTTAAGGGGTTAAAGCTGATTTCCCTTCGTGAATACCCATTGGTATAATGTATATATTACTGCCTTATCAAAGAAATGTATATGTTCTTAAAGGAACACTATAGTATTAGGAATACAAAACTGTATTCCTAATGATAGTGTCCCTCTGCCTAAGTGCCCCCCACCTTCCCAATGTGCATGTCCGGGCGAATTCCGCGTACGCATTAAACCTTCCCCGTAAGATAGCATTGAATCCATACTTTTTTTTTATGGGGTTTTAGTAGACGTCGTGGATGTCCAGCGTCATTTCACAGAGTTAAACTGTCTGGATGTCTGTTTTACATTGCAGGGCTAAGGGGACAGAGACACTGCACCCAGGCCACTTCAATGAGATGAAGTGTCTGGGTGTCTATAGTGTCCCTTTAAACACTAAAATGTGTTTTTAAAGGTGAATTATCTGATTTGTGTAAAAAAGAGAATTAACATATGCAAATAGATGAATGTTTGTACTACAGCTTGATGCGTTTTGTTCTGTTGACTTTCGTAAATGTAAAATACATAGAGGTCTTGTACAATGTTTGATCTGAACTTCATGGTTATTCTGATTATCCATCTGCCCCACGTAATTTAACTTTTATAAATTCACTTGGCGGTTGCTTTTTTTCAGTACCCTCTCAGTTTGCAAGCGAACTGGATCTTTTTAAAATGTATTTGTCATTATTTATATTACAAATTCTGTTTAATGTATACCATTTTATTTGTGAGTTTTAGTTAGGTGCTCTCTATTTTACACTTTTTAGTAATATTGGGTATTAGGGTTAAAATATTTTAATACATAATTATGCCTCGTTATTTTGTATTTATGAGCTTGGCACTGCTCTGGGTAAATCCGTTGTCTGTACATGTGTTTGTGGACTTTTTAACGCCCTGGGAAACACATGTTTTAGCGTTGTTGGTTCCTTCAGTTAATAATTAACCCCTTATGCGTTGCCGTGACTGCCTTGTTTCCTGGCAAATGAGAGATTTTTATTATTTCTATTCCTTTTTCTAGCGTTTTATTTTTTATTTTATTTTTTGTCCTTGACTTGGCTCTGGCTTTAGTCCTTAATGAAAATCGTCTGTATTGTCTGGTCTGTGATTAATTCTGACTATTGTTCTCTTCCCAGCGTGAGCTCGGGGACTATAAAAGAAATCTATGGAACTTGCTGGACGGAGAACGCTCTGCTGATATTTGCAGGGGGAAATCTTGCAGAGTATTGCAATCTGAGTAATGGTCTGCAGGATCCCATATTTACCCTGGCACCGAACGATTACTTGTGTAGCAGCAGTATATCTAAAATCTTTGTCTGATGTCACATCAGCATCATCTGCTGAACCTCAAGTAATTTGCATTCCATCACCCCTATTATATAGAAAACAAACCAAGCCCTGCAGCCTTTAGTAATTTTATTAACTTATTTTTTTTAGCGTCTCATTCCTTGGACTTTTTCATTTGTTATTGATCACCCACAGTTATTTTGTTGTGGCCTCTTTTGCTGACGCTGCCACTATTACTGTACCCAGTAAGCAAGGGAGCAGAGCACCCCAAATTACCCCTGTTCCACTCTGTGCATCACAGTGTATTTTGAGTTGAGTATACTCACTTAAGTGGCCCCATCTCCAGTTATGCTATAGCTGCATCAACGAATCTCTTTGTACTCCAGCGCAGCGCCCAGAGGAGCCGTTACTCTTTAGAGTTGGATCTAACTCAAAAGGAATGTGTAATAGCCCTCAGAATGAAGGCCCTTTATTTCAGGAAGATCTCATCAGAACTCCTGGTGCTGGGAGATAACAAACTGCCTTTGAAGCATTAACCTAGATTTTCGTAACCCTTTCAGTTTTTATGAACTTGTATGTAGTGATTGTGAATTATTGGGCCGTGCCTGCACCTGTAAGGGCAACGGACTTTGTAGTGAAGACAGTTTGTTTCTAGTGACATCAACTTTTGCTTGAAATTTAAATTTTTGGCTGAAATGTAGACCGGTTGAGAGAGGTTAATCATAAAATTACAAAATTTTATATTGGACTTTACATTAAAACTGCATGTAACGGTGTCCTTGCCTCGAGTGTCTGCAGTCAGGACTAAGTGATAGGTATGTTTAGAATTGGGCAAAAGTATCAAGGAACGCAGGATTCTAGGGACAATCCAATTTTTTGTTTTACTTTGAAGGTACTGTGTAAGATTGTGGTTGATGATGTTAATTTGCAGACAAGTAACTGGGAAGGGGTTAGAGCAACGTGAGAGCTGCCCTATATATTCAGCATTTGTCTCCTCTGCCTGATGACCTGATTCTCGCTCTGCTCGGTGGGCACGCCCCTTAGTGAGGTCTGAAGCGCAAATTGTCTGTGTACGGATGGACTTATAATAATAATAATAATAATAATACTGACACAAACAAGAGAACATAATATTCAGCCTGGGCATATGTATGAGGTGCCATGTTAAACACAGCCCAGTAGTTCTAGCTGCCTAACCAGCTTCAAAATCCTTTAGCACTCACGCTTATTGCTCATTTTATCTGACTTCCTCCAGTACTTTGATTTTGAGCAGAGTACCCCAATATTATCATAGAGATCACAACATGGCTACTGAAAGACTGGAGCAGAGCTGTGTTTTGTTGTCTGGCCATGGATTGCTTATTCCATAAGGGCCTGTATTTGGCAGTGTAATGTTTTTTTCACCTCCTTATAAACTGGATTGTTTAATTCTCTGTGCTCTTTAAATCATGCAGTTTCCCTTCTGGTCACTCTCCGTTAAACCAAAATGTATAGTCTACTCGTATTTAAATGAAAGTGACTGTTTAAAAGCAAGTTCAGGCAATTTAAACGAACGCTGGCTGGTTTAGGCAAAGTGCAAAACGTTTAATCATTGCTCAAGTACTGTGTCTAGGCAGTTTCAGGCAGTGTGTGAACTTAATACATTGGGAAAAGACACAGTGTTCGGTTTAAATTCTTCTTTTAGAATTAAAACAAAGTATGTACATTAAAAATAGTGGTACTTTTTAGTAAGTCTGCATGCCATCTTGATGTGACATAAAGCCACAATACTCTGAGCTACTGACACGTTATTAGAATGTGTATTCCAATATTTTTGGGTTTTAATAGATCGATATATAATGTTGCATTCCTGAACTGAAAGTATACTACATTGAGAGCAGTCACGGGACATAAATTCCCCAAATATATTTGTCGGTGAAAGATCAACAATTCAAGTTCTCCAAGAGGAATTGAAATACAAATCTTTCACCAACAAATAAATACGAGGAATTTTTGGCTCGATGGCTGTTCTATTTTTATTTTTATTGTTTTTTTACACACATGTAATGTGAGGTTATCCAGGGAGTTTTGCTTATTTTGTTTCACAGTGACATGTAAATGGTGACCAGAAGGCTCACTTACCTTAAAACATTTAGGGGGCTGCCCATGATTACAAACCTGACTCCTCTGCTTTAATTCTTGTTGTTTCAGAGACTTGAGAGATGCATGGGCTTGGTAATGTCCATGACAAATGGTATATCGGAAAGAGAAGCAAATGACGCACTTAACGCTTATGTAAGTATTAGTATTACAAAACATTGAAATATTGTGTGTCTAGATTTTTATTTGCTGCAGATGATGGTTTTGCAGCATTTGCAGTGAGCTCTGCCCATTTCAGGAAGTGTCTAAAACGACGATGGAGCTACTTTACTTTTTGGTGGCAGTCCTGCGCATATTCTTGTACAGCAGTCCTTTATTGTGTCATGTTTCACTGTCCATGGGTTTAAACTAATGTATCATTTACCCCGCACTCTCGACTATCTTCTGTGTGCCTTCATAAAATGCTTTTGGCCTTGCTGACAACACTTTCTCAGAGAGGAGAATTATTTAAGTACAGCTGTGGCCTTAGTTGCCAGCACATCATCTGAATGGAACTTTACAGGGAGATATCATAGTATCTAAAGGGCATGCAAAGTAGATGCTGTGACAGAGCAAGAGAAATGCCTTGATGAAAATGAGTTCTTCTGCGCCTCTTTGTCACTTAAAGAGGCACTCTAAGCTTCAAAACCGCTACATTTTAAAGTAACCGTTTTGCTTATGTAACGCAATGCCATTTTAGACATGCGGCACTGTTTACTTTTTGTCTCAAGAACGCCTCTAATGACTGTCAACTTGTCTTTTTGAAATCCTTCGCTTTTGGTATCATCACATCCAGCATAATCTTAAATAAAAGCATGAGGGTTATGCGTCTCTGTGAGAGGGATGCAATTCGCAAAGGGCAGTAAGTGCCACTTGTGTTTAGGAGGGCTCACCTATACGTCTCTATGGAGAAGCATTGGATTGGGCTGGAAAGACTGCTGAAGTGTTTTATAGGCGAGGCGTATCCTTTTTAAAACCCCAGTTTATTAAAGTATTGCTTTCTATAAGAAATCAACACTTTTATAATAAAATTATGGAACTACTCCCTGGCTGTCAATCGGACAGCAACAGAGGCTTGGTTCCTCCTGTTAGCTCCCCTGAACTAACGGAAGAGGCAGGCACACTCTACTTGGAACCTCTGATCAGGTGTGTGCGCGCACGGTTCAGAAGCTTCACTGTTCATATTTTTTTTTTTTATATTCCCTGTGAAAAGTCTCTTCTGGGGAAAAAAAGAGGAGAGCTTGCAATGGCAACCGTTAATAAGAACTGCAGCTTTAAGCAAAGTCTCTTTTAAGATATACCCCTGATAAATGCATGCATGTATTCATGGGGGTATATCTATTAAATAGTGATAATTGTTCTCTACAAAGTTAAAGCGGCACTGTCATGCTGAACTTACCTTTTCCCAATCGCTTCCTCTTCTCTCAGGATCTGTTCTTGTTTTTTTTGTTTTTTTTTTCTATCTGATCTAGTTTTCTTTAAGACATAAGATAAAGTAAAGACTACTTTGTCTTATGTATTTTTCTTACGTTTGACCAGCTTTGACCCACTTCCTGTGGAATAATACTCTCCTTAAATCCGTGATCTATCTACCAAAAGGCTGAAAGACCTAAATTTACTTCATTATAGTAAATAAGGGAGACTGCCCCTACTTGCTATACTTTGAGTAGGGACATGTATACTAAACAGTGAGCAGCCACGATCCCTCCCCTCTTCCGATAAATGCCCCGTGGTAGGGCATCTGTTAACTAGCAGTCCCCCCGAGCCCCCACCCGTGCCCCGTGAGTGGGGGCTATTAAACTAAATGGGGGACATAGGGTTCTCCTTGGCCCCCACCAATGAGTGGCGGTTGGGGGCCCTAAATGATAATAGGGGGTACCTATTGCCAGCCCCTACCATGAGCGGCGGCTGGGGGCTCTAAAAGACAATGGAGAGTGGACCTTTTGTGCCCCCACCCAGCGGGTGGGGGCCCTAAGTGACAATGGGGGGGAGGGCCTATTGTCCTCCCGGCCTCCACCCATGAGCAGCGGGTGGGGGCCCTAAGTGACAATGGAATGGAGGACCTACTGTACCCCCCCACCCCTACAGGTGACATGGTGTCCCATGTCACCCACAATAAAAGAAAAACGCCCTACCTACCCCCCTCACCCCCAGGGACAATAAAACTAACTACCTGTAAATAAAAAAAAATTAAAATGACCCTGTCCCTTGTCACATTGGTCCCTCCCATGCAAATAATATAGTGGTCTTTTGAGCTCTGTTAAATACATATATGTACTTATAATGTTAAAGGATTCCTCTAGACCTTGGCATAGAGGTCTCTGCTGAAAACTAATTGAACAGTGAGGGACAATGTCTTTTGTGTCACAATAAATAGAAATTTTATAGATTACATTAAAAGTTGTGTTACTGTGACTGGTACCTTTTAAATTGATTCATTTGTTCATAATAAAACATTACAAACTAAACTAGGTATTAGTTTTCTGAGAATTTTACTTTTGCATATGCTATGCTGCTTATCGATAACTGTGTTTTTGTAATGTAGGTGTGCAAAGGAGCCGTTCAACACGAAGAAGTATGTCTTGGCCTGTTCACATTGGTCCTTACGGAGCCTACACAGGCACAAAAGGTATGCATGCCAAACTAATCTGTACTTGAAGCAGTGCTGTTCTCATATTTTTAATTGGGAGCTGCAGGTCATGAGCTGCTACGCCGATTTTCTGTGTGAGCAGAGTGTTTGTTCCTCTATCAGACTCTTTGGGTACCTCTGCCATGCTATATTGGAAGCAATATAGGTTTACCTTTTCTGGTCTGTGTTTGGAGAAGGAGATTATATTATCCTGTGCTAGTCTGTTCTGGGAATGCTGTATATAAGTTCCTCTGCCAATCTGTATTTAAAGTAGTCTATATTGGGGATAGAAGGTTATGGGTTCTTCTATCAGGTTGTAATGTGAGTAAGAAGTTGTCTGTTCCTCTGCAAGCCTAAGAGTTTGTAGGTTCTTTTTGCCAGTATCCAAAGAGACATGGCTAGTAGAGGTGCGAAAGTGGGCTACAGCAACCCAAATTGGGGCTCTGTAACCCTTGTCTTTCAGCTACGGAGTAGAAGTGGAGCCCCCTAATCCATGCCTTATTTGTATCAGTCTCCCTGTTGAGTCCCGGCTGGGAGCAGAAGCAGCAGAGTTAACGTAGTGATGTCCTGCCGTCCTGGGTTCAACAAGGAGACTGGGAGAATTATGTGAATAGCAAGTCATTGGAGAAATAGTGACTAGGTGAATAGGTTCAAGGTCTAGAAGTGCAGGGCCGGCGGCATTTTGCCTCCTCTTTCTCACTCGGTATGCTATAGAGGGAGAGACTTGCAGATGTCGGCCCTGCAAAATATAACCAGCTCGCCAAACCACCACAAATCACAGCCAGGTACATTGAGGGGAGGGGAGGTGGGGGGGAATTAAAGTGTGCTTCTGTCTGTTTTCCCAATGCCTGTGTGTGTATGTGTGTCAGTGTAGCTTGTGTGCCTTTATGCGCTTGTGCTTGTGTGTATCCAAGTGTGCCTGTGTTTGTGTGTGTGTCTGTAAGTATCAAGCAGTGAGCATGTGTCTTTATGTATGTAGAAGCGTATATCGCAGTGCAGATGGAAACGTGTGGAATTTGCGATGGACCAATTATGGGGCTTTGACGAGGTTTATTTGTCTTGGGCTCAAGATCTGTTTTGTTTTTGTTTTTTTACCCTTGCCACGCCTCTGCCAGTCTCCATTATCAGCAGGCTGTATTATTTTAATTGCCGGTCTACATTGAGAGGATTTGTATTCCTCTGCTAATATGTGTTGGGTACAGGGTGTACGGACTTCTCTGCCTGTCATGAAAGCAGGAGGTTTGGGTTCTTCTGCAAATCTGCCTTGTGAATAGGGGTAAGATTGTTTTCTCAGTACAGGGATATGATTTTCTCTTTCCCCCTTTGAATTCCCATAATTCGAACATCTGCTGTTATCGTTGGTCCTTTGATGTAAAAGTGCCTGCGTTTCCCCTTCCAAGCAGCTTGTTCCTTTTTTAGTGTGTTTCTTTCTGTGCCAGCTTACCTCCTTCTGTCATTAAAAGCAACGACTGCGCCAGAGGCACGTCACTGCCTGTGCAGTTAGACACAGAGCAGTGATAAGATCTCGCAGCATTGACCAGCAAACGCAAACCTCTCCAGTAGGGACAAAAAAAACCTATGGCTTATCATTATTTTCAAGTGATAGAATAAATGGGACGTACTCTTGCTTGTGTGGTCTTAAAATATGTCATAGTACAATGATATAAAATTGTGTAGCTCTGTGCGGTATATTGGCACGCTATATTAATATTATTGATGATTTCAAAGTAGATCTGACAACCAGGCACAGGCGTACTCTTGCATTCGGCAAGCTTCCAAACATTATAAATAGGCCAGCTATGGTTATAGCTGCATATGTTTGGGTGTTTGATTGTAATGATGTAATTTTCCCTGGACAGAATTCGGTAGTCTCTTCTTCAGGTGTTGTGCGATCCACAGCACAGTTTATTTGCTTGGAGACCAGACCTATGTGATGTCCAAAGCAGACGTTTGTTTTCATTCAGCTTCAGCCACCGTCTGCCAATGATGTGTATCCTGGTCGGGTTAACCTCTTGCATCCTGCGGGGCTTGTGACATTGTCAGATGAGAGAGAGTGAGAAAGCCCCTCCCCCATGCCATGCAGGCTTATTATTCTAACATTTGGGGAGGCACCCTCTGATATTTCGGGAAACTTTAAGCAAACACGTTGACTCTGGGAAAGGGCGCAACCTTTGCCTTGGATATTGTTTTGCTAACTGTGTAGTTGGCATTTTTGTAGGTAATTACTGTCACAGTTTCACACAGAGAGGGAGTGCATTGCAAGAGAGCCTGGCAGATCTCCCATCTCTTTTCCCATGGCATCGGTGTACATCTCTCAGCAAGATATGATCTGTGAGCTTCTCTGCGGAGTCGTGCGCATTCACAATAACTAAAAATTGTGTTTAAGTAATTAAGTCATATAAATAGTAGGGATCGACTGATATTGATTTTTTTAGAGCCAATACCGATAATCTGTGAACTTTTAGGCCGATAGCCGATATTCTGTACATTTACCATTTTGAAAAAATAAGAAATTTCTTAAGGTAAATGCACAAAATATACATGCCACATGTAGTGGATGCAGAGTGTTTAGACAGGGGACCTGTGTGTGTTTGTCTAGTGGATGCAGTGTGTATAGTGAATGCAGTGAGTTTGTGTGTAGTGTGTGTGTATATAGTGAATGCAGTGTGTAGTGTGTGTGTGTATATAGTGAATGCAGTGTGTAGTGTGTGTGTGTGTATAGTGAATGCAGTGTGTAGTGTGTGTGTGTATATAGTGAATGCAGTGTGTAGTGTGTGTGTGTGTATAGTGAATGCAGTGTGTGTGTGTGTGTAAAGTGAGTGCAGAGAGTGTGTGTGTGTGTGTGTATAAAGTGAGTGCAGAGTGTGTGTGTGTGTGTAATGAATGCAGTTTGTATAGTGTGTGTGTGTGTATGTGTTTTCTGAAGGGATGTAATTTGTGTCCATTTAAATGTAGTACTCATTTGGCAAAAGACAAAACAAAGCAAGATTTGCTGAGAATGCTAGCAAATCTGTACCCTACCTGGAATCTGATTTGAAACTATGATGCTCTTATCTCTTAGAATTTTCAGAAAATATGTAATCTCCGCACTTGTTACCAATTTTATTTTTAATATTTATATGCTTTATTTTTTTTGTCCCCCCTTCCTGCTTCTTACCAGGTAGAGGAGATATAGTATTCCCTGGTGGTCCGGTGGCTTAAGTACTGGGGGGCCCGCAAGGAAGCTGGTACTTACCTCCTTCATCTCCCTGTGTAAATCGTGCAGTCTGTGTGCTGCGCAGAGCGTTGCCATGGTAACTCGTGGCAACGCCCTGCGGCCGCGGGACTCGCAAGATTTTACATCGGAGCTGAAGGAGCTGCTGGGAGGTAAGTAACGGCTTGCTGCTGACCCCCCCCCCCCTTCCTGATATTGCCGATAATACCTCCTAGGACCGCCGGGTTCATTATAAGCCCGGCGGTCCTATGAGGTATTATCGGCAATATCGGTATCTCTATAGGCTGAAACCGATATTGCCGACAATACAGAATAGCAGCCGATAAGATCAGTAAAACCGATAATCGGTCGATCCCTAATAAATAGAAATCGTTTGCACAAAGTAGGTACAGATTTCCTAAGTCAGGGCTTGACACATTTTGCTTTTAAATCTAGGAGCTAGCTAAAAAAGTTAGGAGCCGGTTTTCTTTTTAAATTTTACAAAGCTTTATTTTTAAATACTAAAATACAATTCTTAAAAGGAAACTATAGTCACCAGGACCACTGCAGCTTAAAGGGACACTATAGTCACCAGAACAACTACAGCTTAATGAAGTGGTTCTGCGGTCTATAGCCTGTCCCTGCAGGCTTTTCAATGTAAACGCTGCCTTTAAAAAAAGAAAAGGAAAAAAAAAGGTCAGTGTTAACATTACTGTCTAGAAACACCTGTTGTGACAGGCATTAAAGTGATTTCTGTCTCAGTGCTGCAAATTCAGCATCTCGATGCTCTGCCTGAAGGCGTTGGTTATTCCCCACATAGATGCATTGATTCAGTGCATCTCTATGAGGAGATTCTGATTTGCAGCTTATGTTCCCAATTGATTCCTATGGGGAAGCATTGGATTGGCTGAGATCATCAAGCTTGATAATTTCAGCCATAAAGAGGGGGCCAGCACGGCATGGGAAAAAGGTGAATAAAAGTGGGGAGCATGTGCACCACAATTAGACTGTTTTTTTTTAAAGTTGCTTGACCTTACATATTATCCATTTTTATTTTGCCATGCAGGTGGTAGAGGCAGAATTTAGAGTAAATAATGTCTATCCATCATTGCGTCAGTGGTTCAGGGCAGCTGTTGGTGGGCTGTAATGGTGTAGGGAATACGTTGCAAGTATCGTTTCTGACCAGGATGTGCAACTTGTTTCATACACCATTTACTTATCTTCTAATGTTCATTCAAACAACTGGCCAGATCATACAGTGCATGTCATCTCCAACTGGCTCCTCAATTCAATAAGATACAATAAAATGTGCATAGCTATCAGGTCAACATGAACCAAAAGATTTCCCGCAGCTTGTTAAACGTAAATGTTGTTCTGGAGGGAAATGGGATCCTACCCAGTACTGTGGCCGCTGCGTTTGTGTCACAGTTGCCGTCCTTTGTTCTTCCTCCACACATGCCCAGTTACAGTGGAATAACTAATATCAAAAGCTAGAAAGAGGGGGAAACCTTTATCTACTTGTGTCATGGATTCAGGGAAAGACTTGTAAACTGTATTGGTAAAAAGCACAGTTATATACGAAACTATCTTTGTAGGCCAAGTAAAAACGGTTTATAATGGAGAATCGTGGATTCGATACGAACATAAACCACGGAATAGATTTATTTTGCCAATTAACTAAAGTGCAGACTTTGGAAGTGGGCAGTTGTGCAGCAAAGATCTGCTTGATCCGGGTCTAGTCCAGATGCAAACGTATTTGTGTGTACTTGAGTATATATAACTATTGCCTCCTGCCGGGAGCACCTATACATCATCTGCAACAAAAGAAGTGGGCAATCATTGTGGACATCATGTATGGAGGAATTTGTTGTTTAAAACGTGGGATTAGCAAATTGGTTGTTTGAGACACTGTTTTGCATTCACCATATTTCTGTGTGTGGCAAAAGAACTATGTTTGGATGTGTAAGATATAAATATAACACACCAACGTTGTCAATGATTGTTTTCTGATATCTTTACAAACAGATTGCCTAAAATAAAATTGAAGGATTCGTAGTTATCTATAGTCATTATTATTTTCCCTTTCTGGGATATCTGCCCCTTACTTGTGCTCACTTTAATCTTGTTTTATCTTGGCAGGAGCTGCAATATATAATATGAGCATAGATAATTCAATACATAATTTGATTGTCCAATGTGTTCAGGGCTGTTGTGTTGTTGACGCTCATTTTTATTGATTCCACTTTCACTTTTTTCAGTTTTTCTTGTGTTTTTTTTTTCCTGATCACCTCATTACCCCTTCTGTTTGTTGTTGATAAAAAATAACATTTCTTTGAGTGTTGCTATTACACTTTTTCTTCTTTTGTGTGCCTTGAATTATTCAATAAAGAGTTGCATTATACACATACCTTAAACTTGCCCTGTTGTTTTTATACCTCCCCTGGGTTGTTTTGTATCCATACACTGTAATCCCATCCCCCTACCATGCTGGCCTGAGATTTGTCATTTTGAGTTAAACTGACAGAGATGCTCTGATCTGGTAGCTTTTTAACCCTGTGTGTATTCAGTTCAGCTTTGGAAGTACTCTGTGTGTGTAATTTGCTGTTCTGGGCCCAGTTTGTTAAATTCACAACATTCTTTTTATTATAAACAGTTGTTAGCTGAGGGAGAAGTACTAACGAGACGCCTGCTGTCCGGGGCTTTTTAAAGTAGCTAATTAGTTTCCCGAGAAGTGATGCCTGTGATCAATGATTGAGAGGACGCCAGTCGCTTCTGCGGCTGTTAACGAAGCGCTAACTATATAGGGGCATCCCCACACTGATATAATTCTCTCTCTGGGGACTGAAAACACTGTGAAAGTATGTCTATATTATAGCTTCTATAACGATCCTAGCAGACTCAGACAGGGTACCAATTAACTAATAAGCCCAGAGAGGGAAAAACTGCTTGCTGTGTAATGTGAGGACTCGTATCTGTGTACCCCAATCAGTTAGGGTTATCCACTAACAAACACTTTGGGGTCACAAAGAGAACAGGTGAATTCTTCATTCTTACAGGGGTCCTTAGCTTAAACAACCCAAGTAAATTAAGGTTGTGATTCATGGGTTTAAAGATGTGTTTGCAACATAGATCCCAGGCACCGCATAGCCCATCTTGTTGGGAGAGGTAGGATGGAGTACAGAGGGGGAGCTGCATCTCTTGTAAATTCACCTGAGGCACTTGGTTGGGGTACTTATGAATAGTAAAGAGCTCACTCTGTGCATTGGTGTGTGCTTGTATACGCACAACTAACAGAGCGAGTTTTACTTTTTCCTGGAAGTGGATGGTGATAATATCGGTTCTGTGATTGTGTCCGGTCTGTGCATGTTTAGTGTGAGTGGAGTAAAGTTGATATTATATTCATCTTAGTATTCTTTTTGTTTGTTATGCATGTGCTTTGGGTACTGTGAGTATTGTGCATTTGGGCTACATTGTTTTGGTCTTTTCTACTTGGCAGTATCAGACACTAACAAGCATGGAGTCTTTTAGACAGGTCCTGTTTCAGCGTTCCAGTGAGGGTCTTTGTGATGCCCCACTGTCCGGCAGAATAATCTGCTCTGTGTGTGCGTCGCCTCAGGAGTACTGGCCCCTGGAGAAAGATCGCTCTTCACTTTTTCTCTCTGCACTGGTATCTCTCATTAGCTGTCCTCTCCGAAGTGGCTTTTGATCTGCGTCTGCGGTCTGCTGAAGTTTTCTCTGCGCCGTATAATTACATCTGTCACATTGATGCTGGATCTGACATTCTGGCTGCCCTGTATCTGTCACACAGGCTCACACACCTGTGACTATCAGCCCTTCATCCCTAAGTTAACCTGTGCCTAGCTGGAGACTGTATTAACCAGACACACCTCCTAGTCCCTATATTTCCCACCAGCTTATTCCTTTAACTTTATCCCTCCACCCGTTCTTATTTCTACCTATTTTTCATCTTCCATTTCCTATCTTTTCCCTCAGACGCTTATTCTTTACCTTATATTTTATGTATACAGTGTCCCTTTCTGCTGCATGTTCAAAGAAAAGCATCGTTAAGATACCAGAAATACACCCACGCAAAAAATCAGTACTGGTGGGGATAGGTTGCACAATCGTAATACTTCTCGCACAAAGCGCCACCATTGTCACGAAGTAACCTTTTGCGAGGCCTCTTGCTGGCAGTAAGGACCACGTCAGTGTCTCTGCAACAATTTCTCATTTTCAAGTTTGAGTCTGACGTCTCTTTAATCCCCCAGCCTTGCTCTACCCCCCTCAGTGCGTTCCCATACGTTACCATTTTCTCTATATCCTGGATAAAATGGGTTGCTGCGTTTCCTGTGAATGTCCCCTCTGCCTTGCATTCTGCACCTTGTGTGAGCAAAGTGAAGTTTGTGCATTACAGTATGGCCTTCAATAATAGGGTTATTTACTGAAATGTGAATGATTGGCAATTGGAATTCACAGTGTATTCCTGACATTTCACACTTTAGTGGCATCAAGAATAGTTTACTGGAGGACAGTTGATAGTGTTTAACATATTGGATGCGATGTCTACCTCCTTAATCGCACATTCTGGCTGGAAAATGGAGGCGCACAATCATGAGGCCTCGTAGCATAATACAGTATGCAACAAGATCGATAATGAGCATCGCTGTGCAAAATGTTACCTGCACTGTTCTTACATATTTTTTTTTCTTCCCTCTCTAAAGTTTTCTCTATTTAAAAAAAAAAAAATTTTTTTTTTAAATTTATCACTTAAGAACCAAAGCTATTTTTGCTCTGTGTGTGTTCAAACACAATTTCCATCTTTCTCATTTACTGTACCAAAACAAATTATATATTATCTTTTTAGGACAAAAAGGCTTTAATTTCATGTGACACATATATCAATTCTCATTTGTTATATTTAAAAATGAAATACACAAAATTGTACATAAAAACACATGTGCTTAATTAGTGCAGCTCAAGAAAAGTAGCTCAAAATAAATAAATTTGTCCCGAATTATAGAGTACATAATATGTCTAGGATTTATTTTTGGTAATTACCGGTCACAAAATACAAGGAGTAAAATACAATTTCAATATGAAGTGATTTTAGAATTTAGCATGCTTGTCTTGTGGGTTTAATGGCTGTCACAGAAAACAAAATCACCACATAAAAGTATATATTTATATAAAGTAAACATCACAGCCTATTTACCCAAGGATATTTTAAAACATATTATTTAGCCACTTGACGGCCAATCTCTGCTAAATATTGTTGTAACATGTGTATTTTTTTTATTTATATATATATATATATATATATATATATATATATATATATATATACACACACACATACAAATAGCAAGGTTTATCCTATAAGTATTTTGTAAACCTGATGTGGGCATCTACTGTACAAAACTCCATTTTGTTTTCAACTATATCTTCTGAGTGCAATTTCCCCAATGTATGCCTTTGCCACTATCTTGACCATTTCAGTTTTTACAGTCAGAATTTCTATAGATAGATGTGATTGGCCTATGTCTCCTTTTGGAGTGTTATTGCAATTCATGTCATTTGTGAAGGAAGACACTCTAGCGCAGTGGCAGTCAACCTTTTTCTTCCTCCCACCCACTAATGCATCTTTCTTGATGGAAAAATTTCCTAAACGCTCACCATACTTACGGAAACATAAAAATACATAACTATCGGCTTGAACATACTCACGCATAACTGTCTATACATTTCACATTCGTTCTACTTCCTGCTGATCAGAGCTTAGAGTCTGCATGCTTTGAGACTGGAAGAGGCTGTGTTTGGGCTCCCTTGTTAGGAGATAGTGTTTGGAGGTTGACACGTCATATCCTCCTTGAGATCTAAAAGTCCACATGTAGCCTATTGGCCAGCAGGGAGGCACAATTATTGTCTGGTTCTGGTTTGGAATCACCCTTGCAAAGTATTGTATAATGAGTCCGGTCGTGGGTTATTCGGTGCTTAATCATTGAGTGATTGTCAACGACATCTTATCTCTCCAAGGCATGGAGAAGGGGTCTGATGTGCTTTCTTATATGTATCCCAATGTGGTGACAGGATTGTTTTGAAGAATGCAGACTCTTAAAACAGTTTTTTTTTCTTCTTCAGAGTTACCGGGACTTGGCCCTGGTGACCCGAGATGGAATGAATATTGTACTAAACAAAGTCAACCAACTTCTAATGGAGAAATACCTCAAACTCCAGGATGTCTGCCGGACGCAGGTAAGCAATGCACACTGGTTGTATGGTAAATTGGGGATCAGAGTGTGGTACTAGAGTAAATGGGAGCACTGGGATGTGGCTTGTAGATGGGGCAATTGGGATGTTGTAGCGTAGGACATGCTGGTGGGTGCATGCTTCCAAGAAGATACGAAAAAGCTGAGTGTGGTACATAACACACCGTAGGGGCACTAGGCGAATGATTTGGGTATGTAGAGTACTGGGGTGTGTTACACAGGGAACCAGGGGTATGACGAGAGCAGCTTGGGGTGGCCCACATGTACAAAAGCTGCACCAAGATCACATAGGGTTGCAGGTGGCACTGTGGTGAGTCTCACTGGTATTGGGTAACATCATACAGGTATTTAGAGTGCATTTAGGTGTAAATCAGGTGTGCAGGGGGAATTAGGTTGTGGCGTGCTGTAGACATACATTGGTCATCTGGATATGTCCGTCACATACGATGGTGTTAAAGCAGCATAGGATCAAATTCTCAGATGAAATACATGCTCTTGTCCCTTGGCAGTTGGTGTGGTTCTTGCGGGAAGTGGTGAAGAGCGGCATATTGGGAGCTGATGGAGTGTGCATGACATTTATGAAGCAAATTGCAGGTGAATATGATTGATTTAGTCACTAGTAAAACTAACCATGTGTTGGTGGTACGGCTTACCGTAAGGCCATAAAGTGAGTATTAGCTGCAATGTTGGTGCTGGAAACTTGGTGACTCCACAGTAAATGGTATGATGCTTAGTATTTTTTATTTTAACATTCTATTTTTATTTGAAAGAATACAATAAAATGTAACTGTACATTTGCTGAAAACAACCACCATAAACAATTAAAGCAATCAACTAGAGTCTTGTGTTCTAGTAGAGCTGCTTTATGGCTGCAATAATAAATGAACATTTGCAATATATGATCCAGGAGCATTTGGAGTTACAGTCAGGGATTGGCACATAGCTGTAAAGAAAGCATGATGATTGCTCTTTAACCAGTTCCTTTTACACAAAGTTTGTGGAGGAAACTCAGTGAATAAGGGGTGGTGCAGAGACTTGTGTTTGTGTCAACATTAAAATCAACAATGTGCAGCATATATACATATGGGGGGAAAAAGTCCCATAAAAACTACTTCTACTTAACTCAAGGAGAGTTGAAGAGAGAAAAGGGGAAAGAGGAAGCGCACAAAATATATAGTTTTCCAGAAAAAGTAATATACCCCGGTGGACCTCCCACCAGTGTAAGTAGTCACATTTTCCTGGAGTCTCCCGGCCACCAGTAATCTCCTCTATGAAACCTGGAGATCAGCCAGTACATTGGCCATGCAAGGCAGGGCTATCGCTCAAGAGAGCTAGCAGAATGGCCTAGCAGGATCTTCTGTTTTCAATGGATGACATTACCGGGACCTGGCAGACCTTAAGTTGTAAGACACTTTGGCTACTAATAGTGCACTGTGGTTGTTATGGTGCTTGGAGTGTCTGTTTCTTATTTTGGAGAGAATCCATATTCAAGCATGTAGTGGAATTGAATTTCGAACTATTCTATATAAACAGTAAAATAAAAATGCTCAAGTTTATCATGTTCAACCTTTCTTATATCTGTGTTACTGCTGTTGATCCAATATGAAACAATTTCCAGTTTTGCCACAAAATTGGGGAAAATTCCTTTGAGGCTCCAGAAAGGGCAGATTTCTCCTTGGATCAACAATAGATTAGCTACTACGCACTGTATGCCAGCATTGCGTCTTTAAGGATTGGAATCTGGTTTAAAAAAAAAAAAAAAAAAAGACTGCCATTGGTACTTTATAGAAACATAGAAACATAGAATGTGACGACAGATAAGAACTATTCGGCCCATCTAGTCTACCCAATTTTCTAAATACTTTAATTAGTCCCTAGTCTTATCTTATAGTTAGGATAGCCTTATGCCTATCCCACGCATGCTTAAACTCCTTTACTGTGTTAACCTCTACCACTTCAGCTGGAAGGCTATTCCATGCATCCACTACCCTCTCAGTAAAGTAATATGATATTATTTTTAAACCTTTGTCCCTCTAATTTAAGACTATGTCCTCTTGTTGTGGTAGTTTTTCTTCTTTTAAATATAGTCTCCTCCTTTACTGTGTTGATTCCCTTTATATATTTAAATGTTTCTATCATATCCCCCCTGTCTCGTCTTTCCTCCAAGCTATACTTTAGGGATTAGTATACTTTTTTCACTAATATAAATTGTTTTTAAAACCCTGTGAAATAAAGGATGATGGTAAATATAAAAATAGCATAACCACATTTACATGCCTAGCATTGCACCAAGGTCAAAACCCTATTTCTTGTCCGTGGTCCTAGACACTTTGCTCGGGTTATGCCAATTGCTACCTGTAAATGTCGACATTCACACAGGACATTGTCCTCCAACACTGTACTGATAGTGAGCTGGCTTCAATGGGCCTTGAATTTCCAAGACTGTATATGAATGTGTGCCTGGCAACCGCAGGGAAGCAGGTAATTAACGCTCTTTTCCAAAAACTGGCAATCTCATCACTACTTTGGAAAATAACTGTCTTTTCTCTCTCTCCCCTCCTTCCCTTGTGTCTTCTCCATCTTCCCCATGTGACATCTCTCCCTTCACGTTCTATGTTCAGGGGGAGACATCTCCGCCAAGAATATCTGGCTGGCTGAGAGTGTGCTTGATATACTGATGGAGCAGAGGTAAGCGGGTGCTCGTTGTTTAGAGAACCCATGCAATCTCGTTAAGATGATATCACTCTTCAATGGTCTGAAGGCTGACCTCACAATGTTACAGGAAGCCCACATCTTTTTTATGTTTACAGTGTCCACATAAAAGCAAAGTGGTTTATTCACTGAACCGTTAACTGGGGAAAATTGACTATTGCAAATTTTAGCTTAAAATAAACTATAAATAAATCTCCAACTCGGCTTATTTTGTTTTACCCCTAGCTTGGCTGTTATGGTCCAAAATTTGCAATTCCCTTTTCAATTCTTGACAACTCCTTGATTAGTGATTAAAACGCTTTGTTATACGTTGTGACAGTAAGTGCACAGGCCCATAGAGATAAAGGAATGTCAAGCCTTGGCATTAATCTATGGTGATCTCACCTTGTGGAACTGTATGGAAATGAGTCATTCATGTTGTTGGTTTATTTGAAAGCCATGCCATTTGCAGAAGGGGTATAATTTAGCTTTCTTCCCACTATTTAGTGAATAAACCCAGTTGTCATAGAAAGACAAAAATACTGTCTGATCCCAATCATTGAATTCATTTCCTGCGTTGCCATGTACCAAACCTGCTGGGAGGCAGAGCCTTGAACACACTCCCTTGTCTGTAACTTCCTCAATTTTGCCCTTGGCCTTTTATTCAACTTCAGATCAATGACCTGTTGTTCTAGTCTTTCTCTCCCTGTGGAACATGCTTCCTTCCTGCTTTAAAAGGAAACCTTGGCTGAGAGATCACGCAGCATGCCGACCAGTGATAAACCATACCTGATTTTCTAGTTCAGGTTTTTATCCTCTTGGCCTGGGTAAAGACACCGGTGGAGCTCTACAGATCTTTTGGTGGCATCCAGACCAGCATGCTTTGCACAGATCCCGATAATCGCCCTTTACGTTATCTGCTTGTAAAGGATGTTATCTGTTATCAGTCTTTGACTCTGTGCAGGAAGTGGGAATGTTTTGTTTTCCAGACATTTACATTTATTTTCCAAAAACACAGAATTTATTTTTAGTGCTGTTAATGTAAAGTGAAAGTACTACGTCTGTTCATTGCAATGCTGACATTACAATGGTCCACAGTCAGTGGTGTAGAGGCTAACACTAGGTTGCCCAGGCCCATGGTCCATAGGTGTAGACTCTGGCACTAGGGTTCCCAGCTCTGTGGGTGTAGCTGCTGACACTAGGGTTCCCCTGACCATGGTATATGGGTGCAGGTGCTAAAAATAGGGTTTCCAGCTCTGTGGGTGTAGCTGCTGACATTAGGGTTCACCTGACCATGTTATATGTGTGTAGACTCTGGCACCAGGATTCCCAGGTCTTTGGGGGTCTTGGTGTGCATGTGTAGGTACTGATACTGGGGTTCCGGGGGTATTGGTATGTAGGTACTGATACTGGGGTTCCGGGGGTATTAGTGGCAGCTGTAGGTACTGATACTGGGGTTCCGGGGGGTCTTAGTATGGAAGTGTAGGTACTGATACTGGGGTTCCTGGGCCTTAGTGTGTGGCTGTAGGTGCTGACACTGGGGTTCCGGGGATCTTATTGTGCAGATGTAGGTACTGACACTGGGGTTCCTGGGCCTTAGTGTGTGGCTGTAGGTGCTGACACTGGGGTTTCCGGGGGTCTTATTGTGCAGATGTAGGTACTGATACAGGGTTTCAAGGGGTCTTATGGTGTAGGTACTGATACTGGGGTTCCTGGGCCTTAGTGTGTGGATGTATGTTCCCTTCTTAGGGCCTTAGAGTGTTGGTATTTTTACTGGGGTTCCGGAGATCTTGATGTGGGGGTGCTGATACTAGGGTTTCCCTAGTCTCTGGGTGTACATGGAGAGACAAGGGTTTTTAAAGGCCATTCTCTGTGGTTGTAAATGCCGATTTTAGAATTTCTAGGACAAAGTTTTGTGGATGTAGGAAGGATGCTAGAGTTCATAGATTTTGTTTAAATCCTTTCTACATTAAAATAAATGACTGTTGCCAAATTACATATTTAAGAGAATGGGTCATGAAGAGCGCTATCCTGATTGCCATGTCTGTCTACACCTATCTGCGACTAATTGTTGACCACCATGGGACCCCACAACTCCAGGCACTGAGGCAGAAAGAGGTGGACTTCTGCATGATGCTCCTAAGGGATCGGGTAAGCCAGACTGTCCTTTGTGGCTATTAATTTATTTATTTTTTTAAATCCTCGCATTAAATCTCTTCCATTACCAATAACCTTGGACTTTAGAAGTGCCTGCTTTATGTTTATTCGAGATCATATCACTTTAAATAAATGTTTTCTAATGTTATATGTTATAGAAGATGTTAGATACAATGTTTTTTTAAATTTGTGGTGCAGAGAAAAAAGACTTTCTCATACTTCTCTCTGACCTCTTTGTTCATTATGACTGTGTCCTAATTTTATCACCCCCCCATTCTTTTTTCTTTATTTTCCCATTCAATTTGTTCTTCTTAATTATCCAACGCCTCCTTTAATTTTAATACCTGACTACCTCTATATTTACCTCGTTAATAACCATCTTATGTTTCCTTTTACAACCTTTTATTTCTTTCCCGTGGCTCTCCTCTATCCCCTTTTTCTTTTCCATTATTACTATGCTCCCTACTTCAATATCCTTTTTCACCCATTAACCCCTCTGCCCATTTCCCTTCTCCCAGTTCATGGATTGCTTCATGATAGGTCGGGACTTGGTCCGACTCCTGCAGAATGTTGCTCGTATCCCAGAATTTGATCTGTTGTGGAAGGACATGCTGCACAATCCCCAAACCTTGAACCCGCAATTTACAGGTACCCACAAAGATTAAGCAGTGTTTACTGCCTCTTTTGATACTTGGTGCAACACAGTTAATCGCTGACTGGTTTCATGGATAATTCTATGTAGTGCTTTAAAATGAGATTGATCATCAACAATCATGAATTTAGTCACTCTGACCATATCTGCTGGAGGTTGGATCTGTATCACAGTCACTCCCGACATTGTGAATTCTCGCTTTATTCTGTGCTGGAGTAGACTGGGCTGTGAAGCCTGCCCCCTCTTCCAATATGCAGTCTAATTAGTTCTCGGCTCCCTCTCTTATGCCAGACATGGTGGAACATCTATTTTTAGCTGAGCTCTCCTCAAAGACTCACATCATTGTGTGCATCTACTTGCGCTCTAGTCTGCAGCCTCAGTTTTTGAATATGAGCTGCTGTCCACAGATGTTCTACTTGGCATTGTCTTTAACACTCAGAGCTTTGCAGACCCTCTCTCCATCTATTTTCTTTTCTGCAGACTCTCCCACACCTCTTTTGCACTCTAAGTACCCTTCCCATATCTATTCTGCGCTCTGAGGAACTCTCCTCCATCTCCTTAAAGCTCTGAAAACCATCCTCCATATCCTCTGTGCTCTTCCCATGTCAATTATGTACACTGCGATCCTCCTGTATCTCCTCTGTGCGCTGCACACCATCTCGCCTCTCCCATGCGCTCTGCGCACCCATGCCCCTCTCCCCTGCGCTCTGCGCACCCATGCCCCTCTCCCCTGCGCTCTGCGCACCCATGCGCCTCTTCCATGCGCTCTGCGCACCCATGCGCCTCTTCCATGCGCTCTGCGCACCCATGCGCCTCTTCCATGCGCTCTGCGCACCCATGCGCCTCTTCCATGCACTCTGCGCACCCATGCCCCTCTCCCCTGCGCTCTGCGCACCCATGCGCCTCTTCCATGCACTCTGCGCACCCATGCCCAGAGTGTAATGTGACAAATGTTTCCACTGACTTAATCCTAATCCCTTAAACTTCTTCTGATATTGTCTTAATCCCAGTTTATCCTTGCATTGGCCCTGTCCCTCTTCCCCTTGCTGTCAGTATCTCTTTTGTGTTGCCTCTTGTGCTTATGCCCACACATCACCCAATCCCTACTAGGCAGCTATTATTTCCCTTTTTTTTTTTTTTCCTCCTATGGTGTTCTCTTCCAGACACCCCTAGTGTATACTAATCACACATGACTTTCGCATTTAAAAATTGCTTATTACTTAAAGGGGCTCAGTCACCTCAAACTTACCTTTCTCCTATTATTCCCTCTTCTCCTCCTCCTTTCAGAATCTGTTCTTCTTTTCTTCATTTCTGATCCATTTCTCTTTAAAACATAAGACTAGGAACTAATTTTTCTGTTCCTGACAATTGTGACAAAAGGGTGGAGCTTAAGGCCAGTTCCACTTGCTTTGTCAAGGTAACACAGGATGAAGCTTGCCTTAAGCTCCACCCTTTGTCAAGATTGCCAAGTGTAGGAAAAATACATAAAGCAAAGTAGTTTCTACATTGTTTCATGTTTTAAAGAGAAAAAGGTTAATTAAAGGAGTACAGATTCTGGAAGAGAAGAAGAAACAGTTGGAGAAACGTAAGTTTGAGATGACAGAGCCACTTTAACTTATAAACCATGGCCAATCAAACATATAAATCAAAGTTATCAGACTTTTTCCTGAAGGGGTGAAGTGTGAAAATTAAAAAAAACAACGTTAGCAGAGGTTCCCAAACCAGTCCGCATGGCCCAATAAACAGCCAAGGAGATATGTTTTTCTCTTCCAGTGGAAGGCCACATTGACTTTAAAGAACATGGGGCATACTTCAGTTGACACTTTTATATTTATTTTATTAGTTTTGCCTGTGGTTCTCTTAATGTTCTTCCTCTTTCTAACAGGAATCCTGCAACTTTTACAATCCCGCACGTCACGCAAGTTTTTGGCATGTCGGCTAACTCCTGACATGGAGACCAAGCTTCTCTTCATGACATCTCGTGTATGTATCTGAGAGGGTTCTTGTTAACCATACATAGGATCAGCTCTGCCAGATATATTACATTTTCTTATTATATGCCCCAAATACCATCTTGTGTATGTGTTTTTATATTAAAGGACCACTATAGTGCCCTGAGGGTGCCCCCACCCTCATGGTCCCCCTCCCGCCCAGCTCTGGAAGGGGGAAAAGAGTTAAATCTTACCTTTTTCCAGCGCTGGGCGGAGAGTTCTCCTCCCTGTCGGCTGAATGTGCACGCGCGGCAAGACCTGCGCGCGCATTGAGCCGGTCACATAGGAAAGCATTCATAATGCTTTCCTATGGACGCTGGCGTGCTCTCACTGTGAAAATCACAGTGAGAAGCACGCAAGCACCTCTAGCGGCTGTCAATTAGCCGCTTGAGAAAATAGGAGAAGGCTTAACCCATTATGAAAAAATGGGTTAACCCTAGCTGGACCTGGCACCCAGACCACTTCATTAAGCTGAAGTGGTCTGGGTGCCTAGAGTGGTCCTTTAATTACACTCTGGGGAATCTAGATTAGATACTGGGTGCTATTTTTGGTCAGAGGTGTTAGTGGAAGACATAGGTATTGGCAAGACACTTTGCATACTTTAACAATTATTTTAAAATAAATTTCTCCGTTGCTGATCCGTGTCCAGCACACCGTTCAGAGCATCAGGTCCAACTTTGAAAATAATTGACAATTTCCATTCTCTTCATTCTGTGCAGCAGTAATAGCCTTGTAGCTCAACACGTCTCTCCAATTATCCCTCCGTGCTGGCCGGGTGAGCACATGGGCTTACCGTCTATGCTTCGTAGCATTTTCATTGTGTTAGGAAGAATAGTCTTCTTTATCTCGAAAGAAATAAACCGCTCTGGTAGATCAATAGTCACCAGGTTCTTGCTCACCTTACCCAGTTGCTGGAGTGGAACCTCTGTGTGTTATTCTAATTACCATTGAACATTCCTCTGGCTACCCTGTGTATGATATGAAGTGTTCTAGTCTCCTAGGGACATAAATGGTCTTATGGACAAGAACAAAGTCTATGTAAAGTTTCTATGTTTCTGTAGCAAAAAGCATATAGCACAAATATCTCCAGAGCATAAAGCCAGAAAAATAGGACTCTTGGTTTGCTCCTTAGGGTTGTGAGCAAGAGATGATTGATGTTTCAGAGGATGTCATTTTTCTTGCCTTTTCAGGTGCGGTTTGGGCAGCAGAAAAGATATCAAGACTGGTTTCAGCGCCAGTATCTCTCTACGCCAGATAGCCAATCGCTGCGCTGTGACTTGATTCGTTACATCTGTGGTGTAGTGCATCCCTCCAATGAGGTGCTGAGCTCAGATATCCTTCCCCGCTGGGCGATCATTGGGTGGCTGCTGACTACCTGTACGGTACGTATGCCTAAAGTGGCAGCATTTTCTGACAAATACTTGGGAACAAAGGGTGGCGAGAGGAAATTACATTGTACTTAACTTAATATTCTATTGGTTTTTTATCTTAGAACACTATTGGCCTAAGAGAAATACTCCATTTAACTCTTAAATGGATTATCTGAGCCCCATAATCATCTGACACTCTGTCAGTGAGTAATGTCCAAAGCTGGTATGCTGTGAAAATTACTTGCACTATAGCATATAATGACAAACTGGGGAAAGGGGGAGGGGTGACTGTTTTAGATAGACTACCATCTAATTTTGCTTAGAGTATCCCTTTAATAAAGTTAGTGACCTGTAAATAATCAGCATTTTTTACATTAGCTCAGTGATTGGTAGAGATAATTAGTACAGTTAATACATTTTCCTCCCCCCACCCCCAATTCATGAGATTTAAAAATAATTTCTTGAGATTTACCGTATTAATAGTTGTAGGGAAAGGTGAAATCTTGTCTAGAATATCCCAGAAGGAGAGTCTTTCTGCTCATTATTGGAGATCTTGTTTATCCTTAATCCCTGTGATCTTCCTTCTTTTTCACAGTCAAATGTCGCAGCTTCTAACGCTAAACTGGCTCTCTTTTATGACTGGCTCTTCTTCAGCCCTGAAAAAGATAGCATCATGAACATTGGTAAGTTCACTGACAGGTGTTGTGTGCTGTACCCACTCAGAACGTCTAGATCAGGCATAGGCAACCTTCGGCACTCCAGATGTTTTGGACTACACCTCCCTTGATGCTTTGCCAGCCTTATGGGTGTCAGAGCATTATGGGGATCCACAACATCCCCCATGTTGTAGTCCACAACATCTGGAGTGCCAAAGATTGCCTACCGCTGGTCTAGATGGTTGGTGTGCAGACTGCAGGAAAAAATCTCATTAACTATAAAGTTAGTCCGTTATATTTAGTGACATGGATGGCCCTATATTTTCACTATTATGTTTCGAACAGGTCTTGGTATAACTATATTTACAGTATATGAAACTATGCCTACATGCAGACGTGTTTACAGTCTGGTCACTGTGTTAGAAAAGTATTCTACCTGAAATACCAGCGATGTTATTTGTCCTGACCTTGCAGTAAATGGGTTAAAGCATATGAGTGTCTATGATTAGTATCCGAATGGGTGAATTTCATCTGATGAACTGTAAAACTCCCACCTGATAACTAATACTTGGGACATCAGTGTCCCTTTAAGGAAGATGTTTTTCAGATGGGTTAGATATGCCGTCTCCCTCCCCTGGGTGAGTGATTCTCCTATGTTTGCCCTGTGGTTTAGCCTCGATGTTTTATCTCTGCCAGTTCCTTATCTCTCTCTCCTTCACCTTATCGGCCGGTGGCTTTCAGATCAACATGTTTCCTTCACCCTAGCATTCTTCCGCTTCTCTGATGTGTGCTGGCAGGGGAAGTAGACATTTGATGGGACAGTGGGATACTGCACTGTAAGGATCAGTTTGACAAATCACCTTAACTAACCCAGAGCAACGCTTGCTTTCACTAGATGAAATGACTATTCAGACGTGCAGCTAAAAATGATCTTATAACCACCAGCTAGTGTTGGTTACCGTCTGGTGGGCTAAAATGGTATTAAATAAATTGCTAGCTCTGCTGGTCAGTCCTGATCAGTGCTATGAATCTTTGCCAGTATAAATGCAGTGTGGTAAACAGTCTGGATCAATGATTGCTGGATAATGAGAGCCGCAGGCAGTATCACACCTTCTCCAGCCATTTAATAGCTGATCCATAATTACTTCCCATTTCATTGGCACAGCAGTGAGTCTTGCTGACATCTACCTCAATAAACACTCTCTGCTGCTCAGAAAAACATGTTCCTGCCGCTGCCATATTCAATGAGCTATTAAAATCTGTGCCGCCCTGCTCCAGTTACTGCTATCCGTTCATTTTTTTTCTTTTAGATTTATCCCATATAAAAAAAAAACATTAAGGTTCGCCTCTTACTGAAAATTCTGTAGCAATATTTGAGAGTTTGTGTGCAGCAAGATATTACATAAATTTTTAATAGGTGGACTGTTTTTTCATAATTTTTTTACTACTTTCATGGATATTCACTTAACTCTGAATTGAAGCGAGTTGAAACAAGAATGGCATGTTTTAGGTAAACAAATTCAAGCTGTGACTGTAGCTTAGTTTGAGTATTTCTCAGGTCATCAATTTCAGCTGAAATATTACTATTTGGATTCCAGTTTGTTACAGCTCAAGTTTAGTGAATTGGCCTGTTTGCAAATGCTTTCTCTGTAGAGACATTGCTTCTGTAACTACAGAAATAAATGTCTGCTCCAAATAAGCATTGTATAAGCTACATTTTAAGGTAATAATTCTGTATTTATTTATTTTTTTTGCAGAGCCTGCCATCTTAGTAATGCACCACTCCATGAAACCTCACCCAGCCATAACCGCCACACTGTTGGATTTCATGTGCCGGGTAAGAGATCCATTGCCTTCTTTGTCACTTCTATATGGGCAATGGACAAAGCGTGGGAATAGAGAATCATGGCTTTTTAGAGTACATTTGTTTATTAATTATTGCATAGTTACATAGCTGAAAAGAAACTTGCGTCCATCAAGTTCAGCCTTCCTCGCAAATGTTTTTGCTGTTGATCGAAAAGAAGGCAAAAAAACGGGTCTGAAGCGCTTCCAATTTTGCCACAAACTAGGAAAAAATTCCTTCTTGACCCCAAAATAGCAGTCAGATGTCTCCTTGGATCAAGCAGCTATTACCCCACTAATTAGATTATTGTGTTCCTACTTTGGCTAAATGACATATTTAGATTTAAAAGAAGACTATTGCAGTAGGAATACCCCTCCCACCCACCCACCCACCCACATTTGCCAAAATAAAATTTAAAGTTTTACTTGCCTTCTTCAAGCAACGAGGCTCCCTCAACTTTTCTCCCCTCTCTGCCTCTCACAACGTAATTGAAGAGGCATGGCCGCCTGGGCAATGGTGCAGTCAAAGAGGAGCATTAGAGACCGGAAGCACATCTGCAGCAAGTGCTACGTGGATCTAAGTTTCTCTATAGGAAAACATTGTATTCAATGCTTTCCATTGGGCTTCTGTGTTAAGTGACAGGTTTAGTCGGTCAGTGCAGCGGAAGTGCCTCTAGTGGCTGTTTGGAAGACAGCCTTGAGAGGTGGATGTAACCCTGTAATGCAGTCTCTAATAAACAGTATACAAACAGACCACTGCACCCAGCTCACTTTATTGAGATGAAGAGTATTAAAGCTTCCCTACATAAAAGCATTGTAGTCAGTTTGCTAAATCTACTATGGAATTCCGCGGGGTTGACTGAGAAACATGACAATGCGGGAGGAGGATCATGTCCCACTGAAAGTGCAATTCAGTTATATAATTGTAACCCATTTTCTTCTTGGAGCAACTCCCGATCGCTAACACTTTAGCTTGCTAAAATGTTTATGTATGACGAGTGTGGTTCCTTTTTTTTTAATTTTTATTTTTTACTCAATTTAAAGAATTGCAGATTTCAGTAGAATTTTGCACTTTTATTAAATAAACTTGTTTCACCCCCTATTGTCCAAAGCACCTGCCTTGCACAGACTTCTCATTGAGCTGCAGGAGAGGGCTGGCAAAGGCTTTGGACAAGAACTGCGTCTTTTGCAAGCTGTTTATAGAAAAATATCCGCCTGTTCTGTAAACTGTCTGTGTCTGCCACATTGCTCAGTATATGTATTTACAAGGAGACATTATGGGGTCTGGACAATTACACTTGTATTGGACCTCCTGATTGTGAGCAGGCTGTTCACCTAAAATCTTGCACATTGAACAGCAGAATGAAAGAATGGCCACATTCCTGGTGTCCCATGTACTGCAGAGAACAGGACTGCTGCAGGTTGTGAGATTATTACAACAAGGCCAAAGGTAGATGTGCTGCTATTTCTGCGTGTTGAATAATACATTATCTTTTAATGAAGCCATCTGCTTGCCCTGTGCCTGTTTGCGCACCACAGTCTCCCAGGAGAGGCATTAAGCTCTGAATGCTGTTTGCGGCTCGGCGGTAGACCATGATTATAATATAACTTTAAACAAACAAGTTGCTCCATAGGTGGCAATACCCAGCATGTAGGGGAAAGAGAATTTGCCATGTTAGGCCAAAACCTTTTGACCTTCAAACAGGAAAGGACCTGGAAACCTCCACATTTACTGAAGGGACAATATGATATACAAGAGGAGGTTACGTATGGTGGTGTAGCAGCAAGTCAGAATAGGGAAACTTTATTACAGTTCTATGGCTGATACCCTAACAAATTATCTGATCTTTAGGAATTACTACTGCAGGCCTGGATACCCCTGCTGATCGAAAGTTCTAGGACTCCACCACCTGTCTGTAGGTGTTAGTGTTATTGGGTCTTGGAGTGCAAGAGGTGTTGATTCTGAAATATTTACTTGAAAGTGTGTGCATTGTGCTATTAAAAAAACAAAAAAACAATTACACAACCTGTAACATAGCGTAGCTTGTTTAAATTGGTCTCTGTCAGAACAGCAGAATCCTGTCAGCAGCACCCCCTGATCTCTCCCCTGCGCTCAGTCCAGGGATAGTTATAACTCTTCTCCCCCCTGCTCTCCCTGGAGACATTGAGAAATGCTAAATATGTTTCCAATTTTGGAGTTTAGGTTATGCTGTCTACCCCCGTGGGACCCCACTGCTCCCCTCCCACTCAGGGTTATTTGTTTTTTTTATCCATTGCAGGTTTTCCACTTTCCAAATACATTGATTTATTGTTGAATTTTCCCCAGGGCATTTAGTTACACGGCACCCCCCTAAGCTATCCCGGGCCTCCTCCTGGCTGATAGAATATTATAAATTCAGAAAGATATTCTGTCTTTACAATATGGTATTAACACAAGGTTGCCCTATGTCTGTGCCGTTCAGCCACACACAGGCAGTTCAAATATACAACGTAAAAGGGGAATCTTACCTGGGAGGTCCCATGGGGAAGCCATGCATTTAAAAGATACTTTTTTTGTGCTTTTCTACACTCAGCACGTTATGATGATGGTTTGGGATACATATACACATTGGAAGTTGTTTGGAACATATACCCCCCAAACATTCATGCAGAAGTTAGGCTTTGTGCATCCTATACCCACTTAGAGAGCATTTGTGCGTTGAATGTCCCCAAACTCCCACTGAAACATGTGTGCATTTCTGTTTTCCCACTGTAAGCTAAGGTCCCATATGTGATATATCAGGGTTACTATTGTGTTTATTATCATTCTAATTACCACCTCTGCTGAGTGACCATTTATCAAAACTACTTCTGCAGCATCAGTGGTAGCTCTTGGCGACAGAAAGTAGACTCATTAGTTATGTATCTTTCCTCACGGTAACTGGTTGGCTGTACTTACTATATATACAGTACATTAAGTTTTGTTTATGACTGTGTATAAATGTTTAATGCAGTGTGTGTGTAAACATTCTTAAAACAAAATTATCTGACAACAAACGAAAATGATAGTTTAAAAATAAACACAGTTTTTGAAAAAGATCATCTTTTATGGCCATGACTGCATTGCCTCCTGTGTAGTGACAGAATAGTAAATTCACAACCTTATCTGCTGTTAACCATGTTGTTTATGCATTGCTAAAATAACCAGGTATCTAGTTACCCCAAAAGGGCTTCTGAGACACAATGTAAATCTTAGTTTCTTTTTTCTCTCCTTTTCATTAATGGCAGATAATCTCCAACTTTTACCCAACGTTGGAAGGGAATGTCAGACAGGGGGTTTTCAGCTCCCTTACCCATATTATGGAGAAGAGGGTCTTGGCGTAAGTACTGAGGGGCGTGGGTGGGTCATTTAGCATCAAGATTTTGAGACTAGGATAGGAATTTACATTTTCCACAGGCCACAACATGTGGGGAGCTAAGTGGGCAGTATGCAGTTTGTATCACCTTGGGCCAACCTGGAAGATTGGTGCCATTGTTTCATTTATCGAAACTCTAGAAATGTGCCAGTGAAGTCAAAATAAGTAGAACTTAATTACCTTTAAAAAATGTGTAGTGTTTCCTGTTACCAGTCTATTTTTATATACGCAGTCTTGTAATCTATAATCCTAAAATTTGCCAAATAAGGATGATGGGAAACAGCATATTTGCTTTGCTTTCCTATTCGACCTCTAGTGACATGTCTTTAAGGCTGAAATATAAACTGGGCAATCGTTCTTCTCACTCTTATTGATATTTATGTTTTGCATTAGTTTTGCACTCCAAGAAGGAAACCAGTTTAAATCGAACATGTTATTATATTATTGCGATTGTCTCAGATGTATTGTTACACAAGCAAGATGGCTGTAACAAGCAACCTTATTAGTATTTTAATATGACGTACCACATCAATGGAGTAAACCATTATCAGGGTATCACTAACGGACCAGTTGTCAGGCGTTTAAAGTGAATTCTGAAATACAGGGCAAAATAGTCAAATTGGAAAAATTCTTCATGTCAGTTTGGTTCTTTGGTCTAAAATTTGCTTTAAATTTTTAGAAAATAAACCTGATTGTTTTCTTTCTCTCTCTATCTTTATACCACCAAACCTTCAGATAATGCTTAGGGAATCACTCACCCATAACTTATGTTATGGGTGAGTGATTCCCTGAACATTATATGATAAACTAAATGACAATTTAATGCCAAGTTAGGAAAGGGGGGGGGGGGGACAAAAAATGAAGATTGGCAGTCTTATCGTTTGCAATTATTCCTACACAATTTCTGATTTCACAAATCCCGGGTTTCAGTCCCATGGAGACACAATTGTCTTTACTTGTACAGTCATTAGACTGCTAGGAGTGGATGGTAATTACAGTGTTGAGTGGCGGTATTTTTCCTATCTTAACATTGAGTGGAAGTGTAGTTTTAGGTCTGGCTGTGATGTCGACATGAAGGCACCGAATGGTCAGTGAATGACATGGCCCACACATGTTAAGCACCCCTAGAATTCTGTTTAGAGAGTAACATTTTTTTTATATGCCCATAGTAGTGGTGTAGTAGTTGCTCTCTTTGTCCACCAAGGCATGTGGTTTCTGTGCTTTGGTTCCCTCCACTTCTTAACATTCCTTAACACTGACTGCCCTCTTTAGGCACCTGGCTCCCCTGTTTCACAATCCCAAACTGGACAAGGAGTTGAGGTCAATGCTTAGAGAGAAATTTCCTGAGTTCTGCAGCCTCCCATCTCCTGCCTCAGAAAGTAAGGGCAGCACGTGAGTATGTAGTCTGTCTCCTCCTGTCATACTATTGCTTTTTTAGTACTATATGACCATTGCCAATGCTCACTCAGTGCCCGAAACTCACTTTATGCCTATTTTGTCTCCTTTTTTTGCCAGCCCCCCTTGCCCTTAGTGCCTTTTATTTCTTGCCCCTCCATGCCTTCTCTTTCATTCTGTATCTCTGTCTGCACATCATCCCTTCACTAGTCTTCCTTCCGCTCTACCCTTTTTACTCTCTGGCCCCTCTCCCTACCCTTTGTAATTTCTCTTGTCTAGGGATAATTTCTACTTCTCTCATTGCTGGAATAGATCCAGTTACAGTTTCAGTAATAGAAGGTTGTTGGATTACATGACCTGTTGTGGTGTTTTCCTTATTGGGGACTATATTAGAGATTCTTTTTCTGTTTATAGTAAAAACCGAGGAACCAGTCTCTATGGAAATGGAAAACAACTTGGTGGACAAGGATGACGCCTGCTATGATAATTCAGAGGCTGCATTCAGTGATGATGACGAGGAGATAAACAACAAAGGTGCAGAAAAAGGCGAGGAAAAAAACATATTATTTTGTTGTGGTCATCTTCTCTTCCTGTCTTAATCCATTGCCGTACCAGGCACAGTCCCTACACTAATCAGCCATTCTACCATAATCTGTCCCTCCACGGATCTACCATGTTCTGTCCCTCCACGGATCTACCATGTTCTGTCCCTCCACGGATCTACCATGTTCTGTCCCTCCACGGATCTACCATGTTCTGTCCCTCCACGGATCACCCACACAACCATGTGCTTGTAATTATGTATACACTATCATGCTCTTTTCCTGCATTGATCTACCATGCAGTGCTGTTGTTGCCATGCTTTGTTATTTATTCATGAAGACAGCACTCTACCACACTGTTAATAATGCACTTATTCCACACATGCAACCATGTAGAGTGCAACTTACATAGTAACTCTATGAACTACACCTCAATCTGTATGTCCTCCACCACTAGGGAAGAAAAGGGAATTCCGGTTCCACCCAATAAAGGAGCCGATCATGGAGGAGCCAGTTGACATCACTCCATATTTGGACCAGCTGGACGAACCTCTTAAGGATAAGGTCATGTCTCTACAGAAAGAAAGGTCTGTTCCCCAGACATCTCCAGTTACAAAGTGAATAATATGTAGACACTATTATTATTTATATAGCGCCAGCAAATTCCGTAGCGCTGTAAAATGGGTGGTCTAACAGACACGTAATTGTAACCAGACAAGTTGAACTCACAGGAACAGAGGGATTGAGGGCCCTGCTCAATGAGCTTACATGCTAGAGGGAGTGGGGTATCGTGACACAAAGGGTAAAAGTAGGGGTAACAAAGTAGGTTGTTAGAAATGTATTCACTGAGGAATTAGTAGGTTCTTTTTAACAGCTGCAGGAGAGGAAAAGCTGTTAACAGTTTAATTGATATGCAATCCTGAAGAAGTGCATTTTCAATAATTTCTGAAAGAGTGGAGACCGGGTGAAAGTCTAATGGAGAAGGGAAGGGAGCTCCACAGTAAAGGTGCAGCCCTGGAGATTATTTTTAATTTACTGTACAATCAAATCATTAAAGGGACACTATAGTCACCTGAACAACCACAGCTTAATGTATAGTATAGTCAGTCCCTGCAGCCTTTTCAGATAAAAGGCAGTGTTTACATTACAGCCTAGGGCAGTCACTCAGATTTACACTAGAGGTGCTTCCTGGGTCAGTGCTGCAAAACATTTTGCATGGAGGCGCTAACCTTTCCCCGTAGAGATGTATTGAGTCATTGCATCTCTGAGGAGATGCTGATTGGTGCAGTGCATGCACGATAGTCTCCCTTTGCTTTCCTATGGAAAGCATTGGATTGGTTGAGATCATAAGTTCTGATTATCTCAACCAAGGAGGCGGACCAGGGGCATAGCCAGCCCGGTGGACACATCCGGCTCTGGAAAAAAAAAGGTAAGTTTTATACTTATTTAAGGGGGGAAACCCCCCCCCCCCCCAAGATGGTTGTTTTTTGGGGGGGTTTTGTGTTTGAATTCCTGACCCTGTAGTGTTCCTTTAAGGTCCACCAACATTTCAAGATAAGACAGCTAATTTCTAGGAGATAAGCTGTCTTTTGTATTAATACTAACTGTGAGGATGTTACTCTCACATCTCTGTATACATAACACATAACATGCACATATAAACCTACAATTGATGGCTGGTTAATTTTGAACGTGTGTGAGCGTGCTGTTGTAACACGGCATCTGTTTTTCAGTGATATGGAGGCGCAGTGTGAGGTCATGCAGGACATAGTAGAGCAAATCCTCGAGGTGAGTCTATGAGATGGATATCTGTTGTGACACAGAACACTGATTTATAAAATTTGAATTTCTGCTTAATAGAAAACCATGCATACAGTGAATCATCCCTTTTATTTTATGGTCTCCCCGACTCTCTTGGTCTCCCCAGACTCTAGACTGTTCTTTGTCTCACTATCTTTTATTCTCTCCCTTTGCTTCCTCAGGCTCTCATTATGTCTCAGTCTTCTCTCTTGCCTGCTTTGTGTCATCAGTATTGCTTTCATTGCATTCCATCTATCTCGTTCGTGCTGCCTTGCGTTGCCCCATGTTTTCTACTCACATTGCCTTGTGTCAATAATTCTTGCATTGTCTCACATCGGTCGCTTTCTTGTTTCCACACATCTCCCTTGCTCTCTTTCCCTCGCATTTCTTTTGCCTGGCCATCTCTTCTAATGGTTGACACTCGGTCACCCCTGACTTTGTCATCCTTTTGATTTCAGGATGAATTTGACACTGAGCAGTTATCAGTCCTCGCATCTTGCCTTCAGGAGTTATTTAAAGCACACTTCCGAGGAGAGGTCCTTCCTGAAGAGATTACAGAAGAGTATGTTTAAAGCAGTCTTTTATTTTCTTTTCTCCCTTTCCCCATATACATAAGCATTGTTCACTTCTGTTCATATGCCAAGCTTTATTCTAGACATATCCATAATCTGCTTCCATTAATATCTGTGGCCTGGGTCCAGCCAAAAGTATAATTTGGTTCCATTCACATGTGTGGCTTGGTTCCGGGCATAAACATTAATCTGCTTCCGTTCCTATAAGAAATCTAATTCCCCTAAAACAGAGGGCTGCCAGGAATCTGCTAGAATGTATAGCCCCTGCAGATACTATATGACTGAGACACTACTTTTTTAAAGAACTCCTGTGTAATATATATTTCTAGATCTTTCTGGTTACAAATCACAACATTCTCACTTAAAGAAGGGTACATGGCACAACACCTAAGTGACACATGGCTGCATGTTTTAATTCCTCACCATTTGAAAATAAAGATCTTGGAATTTGTGTATAGATGATTCACCATTTGGAGATAAAGATCTTTGTATACATGACTGAGAGACTTGTAAGGTGTTGAGTTGCCCCAAAAATGCACACCGAGATTATTTTATGGTTTGTGGTTTACGTTTTGATATACTGTACTGAGGTGCCAGCACTCCCCCTGTTGTTACTTTGCTCTATTACACTCACATTTGAGATAAACTGATCTTTTGGGAATCTTTTCTCCTCGGTTTGACAGGTCCTTGGAAGAATCGGTTGGCAAGCCCCTTTACTTGATATTTCGGTATGTATGGTTTCCAGGTCCAATAAATAATGTATTCTGTATTGGAGTGTTTTTGTTTTTTGTTTTGTTTTTTACATCTTTTTGAATGTCCTGTTACATTCCAACATATACTGTACATTTTTTACTAGCTTAGCATTCTCTGATATGTTAAACAATATATTTAGTAGTGCTAATGTTATTCCACACTTTAAGAAATAAATGACATTTCTTCTTTACTTTCTCAGGAACTTGATCCAAATGCAGGAGGATAATAGTGGATTCTCACTGCTCTTGGACCTGCTTTCTGAGCTCTATCAAAAACAGCCCAAAATTGGTTACCACCTACTGTATTATCTGAAAGCCAGGTAAGGAGCAGAACGTTCTGGGGTCCAATTTCTAAGTCACCTATAGGCCATGTGAGAAGTGTGACTAACTAGGCTCTCATCACTAAATCACCTGAAGGATTTTGGCCCCCTTTCTATGTAATCTGAAAACAATATTAGAAAGGGACAAACTAGGATCCAATTTATATCGCCAATCTATATCGATACAAAGAGTTTTGCTTATGTTTTCCCAGTCAATCAAATGAGAAAAGGTTAGTCCAGGTCATTTCTAACACACCTCAAAGAGAGGTGATATTGATTTGGGTACACTAGACTAGGATGCTTTTAATTATTCTTATAGCGTGTATATAATTTCTGTAAGGCCTGCAGTACTAAAATAAACCTATAGAGGGTCCTCTGCACCAGTGATCTGTGATACTGGAAGGTCAGTTTGGGGTTGCCATGTGCCATCCACCAGCACGTTGAGCAGTGTTCCATGTTCCAAAGTTTTAATGCCTTTTCCTCATTAACGCTCTTATCCTATCCTAATGACGTCCAGTCGCTGCTTTCTCCGTCCGGTCTATTCATTACTGGTAATTAATTAAAAATCTAGGCTGTGTCTTCCCCTCTTTCCTTTGTTTCACTTTAACCCTTGAGCTGGACTGGCTCTTTATAACATCTCAGACCTGATTGTGATGAATAAATTTGTGGATAGCATTGTAAATAAGGACAGATTTTGACTGAGGGCTAGCATGTGGGCATGTTTAGGATACTGTGATTTTAAAAGCTCCTTAAGATTGAGTGCAGGTCTGTGAATGTGGGCCTCATTTTATATCCTTTTGAATGGTAGATTGACTGGCTAAGTATATTACTACTTCTAAGAGAATATAAAACTTGGACCTATCTGATTTATACTCAGTCATATTTAAAACCCCATTGCATCCTGTCTTTCTTCATCTCCCTTTATATTTTTCTCACCCTGTACCCTTTCTTTTTCCTCGTGCACTGTTCTTGCCTGTTTGCCTTTTCTCCAAGCTCACTTTTCTCTTTCTTCATTTATTCTGTTCTAATTTGGATATATCTGTCCCCTGTGCCTCCCCCGTACCCTCTTCTAGTCGTCCTCCTCCTCTCCCTGTGTTATCTCTGCTTGTCCATATCCCTTCTGCACTCTTTCCTTGTGTGTCCCCCTTTGCCCCATCATTGATCCTTCTCTCTCACCTAGTTCTAGTCTATTTCTCTACTGCCCCTGTTCTGAACATTTTCCCTTGTAAAACCTGCACCTCGTCTTGACAGTCTCCTTCACTTCCCCGGTACCCTGTCCTGAACAGTCTCCCTCTCTCACCATTTCTAGTAAGGCAGCATCTGGAAAGATGAATTTATATGAATCCTTTGCTCAGGCCACTCAACTCGGGGACCTCCACACGTGTTTAATGATGGACATGAAGGCCTGTCAGGAAGATGACGTCAGGCTTCTGTGTTATCTGACACCATCTATATACAGTGAGGTGAGACAGACTCCCATAGATACAGCTAAATAATACATCCTTTACTCATAAAGGCTGGTGAGGCTCCCTCTACACACATCCAGTCTACTAAGCTTATAATACGAATGTTCTTTTCTCTGACATACTCTCCCCTGTCAGTTCCCAGATGAGACTCTCCGAAGTGGCGAGCTGCTCAATATGATTGTTGCAGTTATCGATTCTGCACAGGTAGGAAACCTCATAAACTAAAACCCAATATGCAAATAGCTGCATACGGTAGCCTCTAAATGATGTGTGTCCCTTCTCAGTTGCAGGAGTTAGTGTGTCACGTCATGATGGGTAACCTGGTGATGTTCCGAAAAGACTCTGTGCTAAATATCCTGAGTGAGTACTTATGTCTAGTTAGATTATGTCTCTAGGGCTCTTTTCACCTGTCTTTGCCTGTCTCCTCTCCGTGAAGTACGCCTGTTCCTGATTTAAGGGCTACTCCAAACACCATGACCACTTCTGCTTTTAGAAATTGTCATGATGGAGGATTCTTTATGTGAAGCCTTTTTGTTTAAAATGCTACATGTGTAACGATATTTCCCTATTTGTACTAGAAGCTAGTTACAGCCACAACTTAAGAGCTCCGGACTGCCTAGTGTGAATTCTGTGCACAAAATGTCTGTCATCAGGGCGCTGGTGACAAACTTAATTGGCTTGTGCAGCCTGCAAGGGCAATACATGAACCCCACTCCCTTAGTGTATCCTGCATTGCCATTAGATTTTTTTTTACTTTAAATGCACTCTCTCCCACCTTCTCTTTCTATCTCAGTGTGTGCATGCGCTTTGAGTAGGTGAAACCGTCCAGTGTAATCACTCTGCTCAACATCTTTGAAATATCATGTTTGAATCCTCAAAGCATTGTTGACAATATAGATTTCCTGTTCCCATTTCTCTGGGCTCTGCTGTTATAATCAAGATTCAGGACTAAATACAATTAGTGCTAAGTTTTGCCCTGCCAGGACTTTTCATTGTGACCGCAGCTTGGGTTCATAGCTGTAAATCTCAGGCACAGCATTCTGGGAGGGTCATAGAAATTTGATTTTACTTTACTGAGAGAGCGAGAGTGTACTAGCTTTTAAAGGACACCTTCCTTAAAGGGACACCCCACCCTCTCCTCCCCCCGGGATAAATAAGGGAGAGACTTCGGCACTGGGTCAACGCTCAGCACCCTTCAATGTTCCGCGATGATCAATGCCTACCTATGGGGAAAAACTCTGACGCTGGATGTCCTCATACAAAGCGTGAGGACGTCGAGCTTCAGTTACCGGACCAAAGGTCTATTTCGATCCAGGAAGCGCCCCCAGTGGCTGACTTGTAGATAGCCACTGGGGGGCAGATTTAAATCTGCATTGTAAACATTGCATTTTCTTTGGAACTGCAATGTTTACCATTGCAGTACTAAGTGCAAAAGGGGACACTGCACCCAGTCCACTTCAATCAGCTAAAGTGGTCTGGGTGCCTATAGTGTCCCTTTAATAAAAGCCCACGGTGCAATAAATGCCTGATTAGTGCTATTGATTACTATTAGTAAGTCAATTTATCTGGTAAAGTGTAAGAATGTTTCTATTTCATTTTCATTTTGAATTATGAGTCTGGTTTGTTGGGGATGCACTGTGTGGTGGGCATGGACACAATCTGTGGGTTACCAACTGAAATGTAAATCGGGACAGATTAACGGGTGGAATGTGGAACGTCCATGAGTTAACATTCACCTCCTCTTCTTTTCCAAACAGTTCAAAGTTTGGATTGGGAAACGTTTGAGCAATACTGCACCTGGCAGCTCTTCCTTGCACATAATATTCCTCTGGAGACAATCATTCCCATCTTACAGCACCTCAAATACAAAGGTGGGTTTTTTTTTTTTTTCCACTTCGAGTTCTCCTTTCAGGATTATAGAGCTCTGTGTTTAATCTGTTTGTTATCCTGTTCCCACAGAACACCCGGAGGCCCTCTCCTGCCTTCTTCTGCAGCTCCGTAGAGAAAAGTAAGTAGCACTGTGCTCAATGAATCAGAATAATATGTTAGCTGTGTCACTAGGGGACAGGTTGAACCATATATAGCTGTAACCCTCTGGAGTAATAAGGAGGGCAACAGTGCTTCTCTATGGGGCAATAATATAGCTATATTATGCTAGAGACAATAAGAGATTGATGCCGTTGTAGAGAAGTGTATGTATTCTCCAGGAGTAGAGTATGAATTCTACGTATCCAGATAATTTATTAAACTCTGGAGATGTTCAGATCCAAACAGGAAAGGCTTGTTAGTGATCCGGCAGCTGCTGTTAATTATTGCTGTGCTAATTTGTATGTCTGGATGGTGCTTGTGAGTGGAACGGATGGATGGAGAAGCGCAGAGGAGGCTGAGAGATGCCTTTCAATCTCCGCTGCCCTAATCAGCAATTAGCAGGCGTTCTTATCTTCTTCAGAGTTCTTTGTGTGTCGTTTGCTCTAGCGGGAACTTGTAATAAATTCTATAATTCATGTGGAGAGAGGACATTTAAATTAGAGGGGCAAAGGTTTAAAAATAATATCAGGAAGTATTACTTTACAGAGAGGGTAGTGGATGCATGGAATAGCCTTCCAGCTGAAGTGGTAGAGGTTAACACAGTAAAGGAGTTTAAGCATGCGTGGGATAGGCATAAGGCTATCCTAACTATAAGATAAGGCCAGGGACTAATGGAAGTATTTAGAAAATTGGGCAGACTAGATTGGCTGAATGGTTCTTATCTGCCGACACACTATGTTTCTACAGTGAGATTAGTGCTCTGCTAGCACTGCATATCACTATGTACTAAACCCAGTCCCAGGCCTGAAAGTAACTCGTCACTGTGAACCTCTAATGTGATATCTGAGCACACACAGCAAATCTCCTTTAACTTGAAGGCTGATTTAAGTCAGTCACAATGAAGTTAGGGTACCAATATTTTCTTTTTACTATATTGTGATTAGCACATATCTTTAAAAAATATATGTCCTTGCACATCTACATGTATATGGAGGAGAGAGACACTTGCTCATGATCTCTCCCCCATAACTCTGGCAGCATACCTGCAAGCAGTGTGATGCTAAATTTGAAGTATTCCCTGCACCAGTCCCTGAGCTGGAATTAGGGCTTGTAATTGATTTCAGGCTCTGCTAGCTCCCATTTATTGTATGCAAAGAGCCAGGCTCTGCTAGCTCTCATTTATTGTATGCAGGGAGCCAGGCTCTGCTAGCTCTCATTTATCGTATGCAAAGAGCCAGGCTCTGCTAGCTCTCATTTATTGTATGCAAAGAGCCAGGCTCTGCTAGCTCTCATTTATTGTATGCAAAGAGCCAGGCTCTGCTAGCTCTCATTTATTGTATGCAAAGAGCCAGGCTCTGCTAGCTCTCATTTATTGTATGCAGAGAGCCAGGCTCTGCTAGCTCTCATTTATTGTATGCAGAGAACCAGGCCCTGCTAGCTCTCATTTATTGTATGCAAAGAGCCAGGCTCTGCTAGCTCTCATTTATTGTATGCAAAGAGCCAGGCTCTGCTAGCTCTCATTTATTGTATGCAGAGTGCCAGGCTCTGCTAGCGCTCATTTATTGTATGCAGAGAGCCAGGCTCTGCTAGCGCTCATTTATTGTATGCAAAGAGCCAGGCTCTGCTAGCTCTCATTTATTGTATGCAGAGAGCCAGGCTCTGCTAGCTCTCATTTATTGTATGCAGAGAGCCAGGCTCTGCTAGCCCTCATTTATTGTATGCAGAGAGCCACGCTCTGCTAGCCCTCATTTATTGTATGCAGAGAACCAGGCTCTGCTAGCTCTCATTTATTGTATGCAGGGAGCCAGGCTCTGCTAGCTCTCATTTATTGTATGCAGAGAGCCAGGCTCTGCTAGCTCTCATTTATTGTATGCAGAGAGCCAGGCTCTGCTAGCCCTCATTTATTGTATGCAGAGAGCCACGCTCTGCTAGCCCTCATTTATTGTATGCAGAGAGCCAGGCTCTGCTAGCTCTCATTTATTGTATGCAGGGAGCCAGGCTCTGCTAGCTCTCATTTATTGTATGCAGGGAGCCAGGCTCTGCTAGCAGTGCCTTACTTTATACAGAGAATCATGCTTTTCTAGTACTGTTTCCGTTGTGTTTAAGATACGATCTAAGACTTGCTTTCTGTAATATCCTGTGACAAGCTCCCTTATCTGCCCAACAGATAGCTCCCTGTGCCTCCATCAGTTATCGGCAGAGTATATGGAACTGATAGCCGCTGATCCTGGCGAGGGTGAAGTGGGGGTTATTTATTTCTGGTGTCGATTTTATGGTTTCGGTAGTTGCGAGTCTGCAGTTTAATCTAGTCATTCCTCCTCTTATTTGTTCACCGGGCTCTTTTCTCCGTCAGACCCAGCGAGGAGATGGTGAAGATGGTTCTCAGCCGTCCTTGCCATCCGGATGACCACTTTACTACCAGTATCCTACGCCACTGGTGCCTGAAACACGATGATAACCTGGCTGAGAACATCAAGTCTTTACTAATCAAGAATAACAGCCTACCGCGCAAACGCCAAAGGTATGGGTTACATGAACAAGGCTAGCCAGGCCCACAATTTTTCAAATAACTTAGATTTTAGACACATTAAGTTTAATTGTAGTTTTCTGATGGTAGCGCTTGAAGCTTCATTATGCAAAAGTTGATGATTGGCAATAAGCATCCCAGAGCTCTTTAGCCATTGACACTGTTTAAATATTGACAATAGCACAGGGACCCTCACTGAACTTTTTTCATCTAATCCTGTTGTATAATGTTACGCTGTAAAGTGATTCTTAGCTCCTCCTGCTGGCCACAACAGATAAAACAGGCCAGTCCAATCTGTGCTTTTCGCATGTAATTCAGCTGTGATTTAGATATTTTTTTGTTACTAGCAGACCATTTTGCTAGTAACTGAAACACAAATTATCAGACTGGAGACACTCAAACACTGAACAATTATTTATTTATATATATATATAATTGTAACAACTCATTAAGAGTTAATAGGTCTGAAACAAGTCACACACACACATTATATATATATATATTTATATCTATCACACACACTATCTATATATATATATATATATATATATACACACACACACACACACACACACACACACACACACACACACACACACACACACACACACACACACACATCGGGAGAAGTCAACCTTCCACATCTACTTCACATAGATCGGGAGAAGTCAACCTTCCGTATTCCAAATGCTGTTGACAACATCTCCCACAGTGCTCTTACAGCCATAATGTAGTCCACAACATATGGAGTGCCAAAGGTTGCCTTGTCCTGACATTGATGCATTTACAGTATCTTGGTTTGGATAAAGCATTGTATCTCTCCTTTACACAGCCTCAGGAGTTCCAGCAGTAAACTTGCACAGCTAACACTGGAGCAGATTCTAGAACATTTGGATAATCTCAGACTTAATCTCTCCAACATCAAGCAAAACTGTGAGTATCTTCTGCCAATTCACTACTGTTCTATAAAGGAAACATTATCCGTTTTCAATGACCCACCCTTTGGATAACATAAAGCTTTGTCTTGTATATACCATGCACGCTACCTGTATGGAACATTACTTTGCTGTGATGACTTAATGTTTGTTTTTATCAGTTTTCAGCCAAACCCCCATTTTACAGGCCCTTCAACATGTCCAAGCGAGCTGTGACGAGGCTCATAAAATGAAGTAAGTAAAACAAAAAAAATAGTGTTTTGTTGTCTTTCTCCGTTGGACTAATTAATCATAGTTACCACCGAATTTTGGCAAAAATGGGCAAATTAGAAGAAAGAAATATATTAAACATCCCTCATTGTGTAACAAATATTTTAGCTAAACATTATTACGCTATTTGAATTTCCTTGTTCTTTCCCTTTGTTCTACGTGTTGTGGTTTTCCTCCTATTGAGATCTGTCTCATCGATTGGGTCTACTTTCTCCCTTACCGTTTGTGAACCCAATGCCAGTTATTTAGGCTCCGGTCCATGTGAGTTTGCTACCATATTGGGCTTATTATTTTTCACAGTATTAGTTTTTTTTCTGCACCATATGTTTTTGGTTTTATTATTTTTCCAGGTCTATAACGATAACTGATGGAACCTTTTTATGAGTTTAAGTATATTGTGAGTGCAGCCCATATTGTGATGGTTCTTGTATATATTTATTACACGAGTGATGTATTGTGCAAGGGAAACACCTTGCACATTTCTAACATAGTGGGTATTTCTTGGTTTAAATTGGAAGAAATGGGCTGAGACAATGACCTAAAGCAGTATTGTATTTGAAAGATTTGAAACAAATGGACAATCTTGAGCCTTGAAACTCTCATGGGCACAGGTTTCATACAAATCCCTTTATATCATAACATGCCTGGCATGTCATTTACCTTGAAATGTTAATAGCCTGGATGGATGCTTTTCATTTATTTAATGTCCATATCTCTGTTTTGGTTGCTTGCAGGTTCAGTGATCTCTTCTCCTTAGCGGAGGAGTATGAAGATTCAACAAAGCCCCCCAAGAGTCGACGGAAAGGTCCAATGACAAGCCCTCGAAGTAGAAAGAATGCAGCACAACCCATGAACACAGAGGAAGAGTCTGGATCAAGCAGTGCATCGGTAAGCAACACTCGCACTGTGCGACAGTGGCTGGGTGCTCATGGCGTAGTGTAGACAAGCAGTGTGCTGCGTTCGCAAACCTGGTAAATTCATCTCTCTTTATTCGCAGGAGGAGGAAGACACAAAGCCAAAACCTTGCAAAAGGAAACGTAAAGGATCGGCAGCAGTGGGATCTGATAGCGATTAATTAGATCTGCAATGAACGCTGCAAGCTCTGCAGAGCTGAAGGGTAGCTGATCGGATCACAGGGGCCCTTCTTGCTTCTGATTTTTTTTTTTATCCAGGCGAATGGACCAACCGTGATGTGGATTTATGTTTTCGAAGGACCTTTAGACAATAAAGTAGCACTCGACCACTCTTCCAGGAATTCTGCAGTGGCAGATTTTATCTGAGTTAGAGCCACTCACATTCTCTCCAACGGTCACACTTTTTTGGGGCTGGACCCAAGCCGAGCAGAGACGTATTCAGCCCCTTCCTGCATCATCTGGGTGAAGAATGGGACTTTTATATGAAAAGTCTCTTATTTTCTTACTGAACTGTAAATAAACTCCTCGTAAGCAGGATCCACTGCATACTACTGCTAAAATTGACTTTTTTTAAAAAAAAATAAATAAAAAAGAAAAGAAAACTAAACTATTTTAAAACACAATAAAACGTTTTCTTTGTTCCCTGGCTTTTCAGCCATCTGTACATTGTGCATGTCTTATGGTTCTCTGCTTTATTTGAAAAGACAGTCCTCCTCTGCTGCATTGCATATGGTAACACCACAGAAAATTTATCCCAACCACATCTGGATTTAGGGTTTAGGTGTGCAGACAGCCCCAGACACCATGTTACGTTTCCGTGATATATATATATATACACAACCCTAAAGTACAATGTAAAAATCCCACTGAATGTGGAAATCTTGTCAAAATGCTATAGAACATATAATAACCAGTCTATTAGTGTTATCTTTCCTTCAAAATGATTACAGGAAAGTTCTAACATTTAAAGAAATACTATAAGCACCATAACCACTACAGAACTCCAGGCTCGTGATAGAGTTTCCAGCTGCCCAGGTGGAGGTGACTGATGCTCAGCTGATCCCACGTATGTTTGGTTTGACTACCTAGTCTGGGAGGATATACTGTAGTTATGGTACTTGGAGTGTTCCTTTAAATGTTTACATTTCTTCTAAGAACATATTTATATTTCTTGTTTGCAATTAGAATCTTATTTACCAGCATGCAATGTGGCATACACTCTGTCCTGATTGGCTGCTTATTGGCGTATGTTCATAACTTATTTGCGTCCGTAACACAGGGTTACCTGGCAGGTGAGATCAACATTACAGATATTGTGAAAAAAATGCTGACATGCAGACAGGTGTATAGTGAGCCATCAATCTCTGCTTTCCCCCTTGGCTCAGAATGTGCCACCTGGCTGTGTGGTTGGCCGTCTGACCGGAGCAGTAGTAAATGTCCCTCTCTCCGGGTCACTAAAGTAGAAATTTCCAGAAAATAAGAGTGAATTTTAAATTCTAGATCATAATAGCTACATTCAAGGAATATAAGTCAGATTGTCTACTTTGACCGAAAAAAATTTTCATCACTATCAGGGTGATTTCCTAAAGTGAGTATTTAACTTTAATTTCAAATATAAAGCCACAATACCTGAACTGGAAGCTTAGCTGAGAATATTCAGATATTTTGACTTTAAATTTGAAATTGGCATTTTATTCTCACTTTAGTTAACACACCCTATTCAAATTCCCAGCAATTCATTATTTAATTAATAACTCTGTGATGGTGAAGGAACAGCAATTATTGGCACATGAGACCGATTGTTATTGATCATTATTGTGTAAAAATATCCTCTTTTATTTACTTCTATACCGTACAAGCAGCTCTCCTTCCCACATGGTTGACAGATATCTTGATAATGTGGATTGTTTAAATAGACACTATCGGCACCCAGACTGCTTCATCTCATTGAAGTGGTCTGTGTGCAGTGTCTCTGACCCCCTTAGCCCCATAAAGTAAAATATTGCAGTTTAGAGAAACCTCAATGTGTACATTGCAATGCCAAGACAGCCACTCGAGATGCTTTTCTGCAAATCCACAATAGGAATGCATTGATTCAATGCTTTCTTTTGGAGAAGGCCTAATGTTTGTGTGGCCCAAGCCACTCATGCGCATTAAGTCCCCCTCAGTTGGCTGATGCCAGCGGAGGACGAGCATGCCCTTTGGCACTGGAATCTGATTTTAAAAATTATTTAACCCTTTCCTGGATGGTGGGGGGTTCTTTTTTCGATTTGTGGGTTTCACGTTTGAGCAAATTAACACAGTTTGGAGGTCACTAGTAGGTGTTATTTGTTGGTAAATGGCACTAGCGGATAGTAGAGTGCAAGAAAAATTGTCATGGTGGAGAAATATACAACATTAAATTTGTATGGTGGGTTCCAAGATGGGCGGGGGGAGAATCCATTCCATTTAATATCCGATCCATGATAAGGACTGGATCACATGAAGCTATGCTATTTATTGTACTTAACAAAATATTTAACAGACACTATAGTCACCAAAACAACGTTAGCTGTTTTTGTGTCTCACTGCTCAATTCTCTGCCAGTTACGCGTTAAATCATGTTTGTGTCTGCTTATAAACCCATAGCCACCACCTCCCCCCATGATTGTAACTAACACTTTTTCATTAAGCTAAAGGTGCTTTGGGGACTATAGTGCCTTTAACCTCTTAGTGACCAGGGCTGTTTTTACATTTCTGCGGTGTTTGTGTTTGGCTGTAATTTTCATTTTACTCACTTACTGTACCCACCACCTTTTTATGGTCTTTCTAAAGATACCATTATTTTCATCATATCATTTACTATAAAAAATACTTTAGTAAATATGATGAAAGAATTAAAAAAAAAAAAAACATGCTTTTTCTAACTTTGTCTTCCAAAATCTGTTACGCATCTACAACCGCCAAAAACACCTGTGCTGTATAGTTTCTAAATTTTGTCCTTGGTTTAGAAATACCCAATGTTAACTTAGCTTTTTTTCTTGTACGTCATAGGGCAATAAGTACAAGTAGGACATTGCTGTTTCAGAATATATATTTTTTAAATTTATCAATAGTGTCATTGTAACACTGTTATGTCATAAATCTCTGAATCACCCCTCACATGTATATATATTTTTTTTAAATAGATAACCCAGGGTATTAAATATGGGGTATGTCAAGTCTTTTTTAGTAGTTACTTAGTCACAAACACTGGCCAAAGTTAGCATTTATATTTGTGTGTTAAAAATGCAAAAAACAATTATGAATGCTAAGTTTGGCCAGTGGCTACTAAAAATGACTGAACATACCCCATTTGCAAATGGTATCATGGGGGTAATTCATATTCCTGGGCTAAAATACGGTCTCAAAGGCAACATAACCCATCTGGCAAATTTCAATTTGTAAAAACAGAAAATCAAGCCTTATATTTGACCCTGTAACTTTTACTAACACTATAAAACCTGTACATGGGGGGTACTGTTATACTTGGAAGACTTTGCTGAACACAAATATGAGTGTTTCAAAACAGTAAAACGTATCACAATAATATCATCAGTGAAAGGGCTCTGTGTGTGAAAAATGCAAAAAAAGGTAACTTTCAATGACAATATCATCGCTGTGATATGTTTTACTGTTTTGAAACACTAATATTTGTGTTCAGAGTAAAACAGTATCCCCCCACCCCCCATGTATAGGTTTTAGGATGTCATGAAAAGTACAGGGTTAAATATAGTGCTAGCAAATTAAATTCCTTGGACTTTTGGCCTGGGTTGTAAGGCAGGTCCCTCAAATAGCAATCAATAAAATTACTTAATTATGTAAAAATATTACATAAATATGCACGTAGAATTATATATACATATTTATATATTTGAAATCTACGTGTATATGTATATGGATATATATATTTTGTAATTTTTTATATATACATAGATATATATAATTTCAAAAGTGTATTTTGATATAAATGTATATAAATATAATAGAATACAATTACATATGTGTGTATATATATAAAATTATTTTTATTTTTCCATTTTTTTTATTTATATTTTATTATATACAATATAAAGTTATTATATGTGTGTAATTTAATTGTATTTTTATATTAATATAAAAAATACACTTTGTATGAGATTATGTATAGAAGATATATATATATATATATATATATATATATATATATATATATATATATATATATATATATATATTTATAGATAAAAAATATATAGGATATATATTATATTTGACATTTTTATTTTTATTTTACAGCAGCAGGGAGACTGCCTGTCAGTTTAGGGAGTCTGTATGCAGGCAGCACTATGGACGCCTATTGCCCATGGGGGCCTCAGGCAGACCCCCAGACCGGGAGCAACACAGATTGCGGAACTGCGGCGATCGGATAAGTAATATATTTGCCTAGTACGTCAGCCGTCCTTAAGGAGTTAAAGTGCCCCTTTGAATCAGAGCTGTTGCTTTCACAGATACTCACACAGTCAGTGCTATCCACTAAAGGGAGAATTCAAAGTGAATTTCACATTTAAAGTCTAAGTAGCCCAACTGGAAGCATATCAGACTTAGAGAATAGATGAATTAATAGATGTCTCCCATAACACTCAGCTACCTCTTCTGAGCATTTTGCTAAATAGGCAGTAGACCATTTCTGTCAATACAGAAGCAAGTGTGCAAATATTCTCCAGCCTTCAGGAGCATGATCTATACACCTAAACAGCTTCATTAAGCTAAAGTTGTTTTGGTGATTACAGTGTCCCTTGAACCGCTGTAAATATTGTGTGCTTTAACCCCTTAAGGACACATGACATGTGTGACATGTCATGATTCCCTTTTATTCCAGAAGTTTGGTCCTTAAGGGGTTAAAGGAACACTATCATTCTTATATAGATTTGAATGTCATACATACTATTATTTTTCAATTGGCTCCCATTAATAGATTGGCTGGCTGACTAATTATTCCCTGTAGTGGAAGCCAGGTTACAGAAATGCCAGGGACGGGAGCCCCAACTTTTGGGTTTTTAAGCCAATATCAAATGGTTTAACCCCTGAATGTAAGGCTTCCAGACACTCCTGCTCTATAACAAGGGTTTCTTTTAATTAGTTTTGACTTGGTGAAAAGCAAAATTAGTCTGTATCCACATTTTGCTTAAAAATAGCTAACACATCTGAGGTGGCAATTAGATCAGTATTATATAATAGCACATGAATGCGATGTGACAATATAAGTATAGTTGCTGGTGTAGTTACACAATTGTTTCCAAGCTCATGATGCTGTTATCTGAGCAACAGTGGAATGATGCTCGGCAGATGTAGAACAACTCCCATGATGCTTTGCCAGGACACAGATGTCTTATAAACACTTAGGAACTACATATTAATCATGCATGCTCCACGTTGTACTGTATTGCTTCTTGTTCACTGGCTTGTAGACATGCGTAAAACTGCTATTTGTCCATGAATAAATCGTCCAAATTAAATATTAAAACATACCTGAATAAATCGATATCTGGTCAAATCAATACCAGGTAATAATTTGTTTGGGTGTGGGTTGAAAGGATTTTGATGAATTGATTCATTTACATTTTGCACGTCCATGGGTTAGCAAGTCTCTAATTGGCATGAGCAGTAATGTGCGTAAAATTGTTTTCTTTTAATTACTTGCTCAGGACCACTATAGTCACCCAGACCACTTCAGCTCAATGAAGCGGTCTGGGTGTTAGGTCCCCCAGGATTTAACCCTCCAGATGTAAACATAGCAGTTTCAGAGAAACTGCTAGGTTTACATTGCAGGGTTAATCCAGCCTCTAGTGGCTGTCTCCCTGACAGCCACTAGAGGCGTTTCTGCGACGCTCAATGCGAAAATCGCATTGAGCACGCAGAACGTCCATTTGAAAGCATTGAGAAATGCTTTCCTATGGGCGTTTTTAATGCGCGTGCAGTTTAACCCCTTCAGCCAAGTGGGAGGGGGGCCCTGAGTGTGGGGGTGGGAGGGGGGTGGCTAAGGATTATATAGTGTCAGGAAAACGTTTTCCTGACACTATAGTGATCCTTTAATGAACATAAGATTAGGTTTAGGTATGGTCAGGTGAATGTATGTAAAGAGGCATAGTTTCATTTAATAAAATCTTATTAACAGTCCAGGGAAAGGATCTAGTTTAGGAAATCTTACATGAAGAGAGGCTAGCTTTGTGATCTCAATTACTTATATAGTGCCAACATATTCTGCTGTGCACTACAATAGGCAAAAAAAGATGCATTTCATTCTAACACAACATGATTGACACACTGGAACAGCAGGTAGAGAGGGCCCTACCCAAACGAGCTTACTATCTAAAGGTGAAAATAAATCTTCCCAAAAAGTATAAGCAGGACTACAATCAAATATAGTTTCAAATAACTGTCTCATACAGGGTTAAAACTATAGTGAGAATTCAAAGTGATTTTCCAATTCAAGGAAAAATAAGCGAACTGCGAGGTTTGGGATGTAAGAGAGCCATACAGCTTGTTTGCCTATGCAGAGTATGGTGTGACTCCTGTATCTCTCTTTACGTACCAAGCTTCTTAGAAGTACAGCATGTGTCATTTAGTGCACTTATAAAATATTTCATTAACAATTGCTATATGGGAGGAAAACAATAGTTGAACTGGAAACATTCTCTAATCCACTAGAATTCCAATTTGGCTACTTTGGCCTTAAAGGGACACTATAAGCACCCAGAGCACGTCATGTCATTGAAGTGGTCTGAGTGCGGTGTCCCATGTCCCTTAACCCTGCAATTGTAATGATTGCAGTCATTGAGAAACTGCAGCAATTATCTTGCAGGGTTTACTCCACCTCTAGTGACTGTATACCCAGACACCCGTTAAAGGAGCTTCTACATTCTTAGCAGACTTTTAGTCCGCTAAATTAGGCTGGGTGTCCTCACGCTTTGCATACAGCGTCGGCTAAAACCCCATAGAAAAATACTGATTCAATGCTTTTCTATGGGGAAGTCCTAATGCCCTCAACACGCATGCACATTAGTTCCTCCCCGTCGGCTGAGGTGAAGAGGAGCCGGAGCCTGACCAAACGCCAAGGATCATTGGCGCTGGAATCAGGTTCGTTAATTAATGTTTGAGTTTTGTTGGGTTTTTTTTTTAACCCTTTCAGTGCTGCAAGGGAGGGGAGTTCAATAGTGCTAGGAAAAAAACTTTGTATTCCTAGCACTATAGTTTCTATTTAAAGGGCCACTATAGTCACCAAAACAACTACAGCTTAATATAGTTGTTCTGGTGAGTATAATAGCTCCCTTCAGGTATTTTCATGTAAACACTGTCTTTTCAGAGAAAAGGCAGTGTTTACATTGCCCCTAGGGACACCTCTAATGGCCACTCCTCAGATGGTCAGATGGAGGTGTGTCTGTTAGTGAGTGTGTGTGTCTCTGACTGTTAGTGTGTTTGCCTGTGAGTGTGTGTCAGTGAGTGTGTGTGTCTGCGAGTGAGTGTCTGTGTGTGTCAGTGAGTTTGTGTTTCTGATAGCTAGTGTATGCGTATCTGTCAGTGAGTGTGTGTGTATTTAGAAGGCGGGGTGGGGGGAAGGGATGGGTGGGGGTCACACACGCATGGGGGGGGGGGCGCCTGAGTTTTGTCCTGCCTAGGGCAGCACAAAACCAGGATACACCACTGCACATACACACACAGGCACAAAGATACATACACTCGTATATACAAACACTGACTGATACACTGACATATAGACACACACTCTCACACAGATACACTCAGATATACACAGTGACACATAGTATACATACAAAGACACACACACACACACAAAGTATTTGCGGTCACCCTCCTGTTAGATTATCTTTTTTCCTGCAGGAGGGTGACTTGCTTAAAGGGCTACTAGCTGAGGCTGGTGTGCTGCTCAATCCTCACGGCTGCTTATTCTTCCCGTCCCACTCGGCGTGCTCTGTCTGGGAGGATGTAACAGGCTGTCAGTTCTTTCCAGCATTCCATGCTACAGGGGTTCGGTTGCGGTCTTAAACGACCGCGGTGCTTGATCGGGCCTGTTTAGTGATACTGATCGGGTGGCCCTAAAAGCTTGGAACACCAATTTGGAAACACTGGTCTAATGATTTATTTTCTGGCTGATGATTCACTTCTAATGACATTATCCTTTATAAAAGCCACAGTTCTTTGGTCCCATTCTGTTACTGTGAATTTAACAAACTGGTTATACTTGGCAGTCTTCAGTTATTATATTACTGTAAATAGGAACATTTTTATCATCACAAAAAGTCTCTTACAGAACTGTGAAAATGTTGGTGCTTTGTAAATAAGCTCAATAACAATTTCTCATACTTTCTTCAGGATATATCACATTCTAGCAAGAGATAGAATAAACTGAGAAGTAATTATGGAAATCAGCAAGATGTCTGTTCTGGCGGAGGTAAGCATTTAGGAAAATTATAGATTCCTGCCCCGGAATGCATAGAGTTCACAAAAACATACATTTTTAGGAAACCTTCAGATTAGTCATTTGATATTTAAATGTTAAAATAAAAAAAAAACCTCCCATGGTATTGAACATTTAGTCATTAATCAAGATAGCTCTGCTATGTTTAAAAAAATAAATAAAAATGATTACCTAAAACCAAGCAATGTGATTTTGTTGCAATTTTTTAGGGGCTGCATTAAAGGACCACTATAGTTCCAAGAAAACACTTGTTTTCTCCCAACCTCAGGGCCCCCCTCCTGCTGGGCTCTAGCGGGTGGTAGGGGTTAAATTTACCTCTTTCTCCAGCGCCGGGTGGGGGATTCTCCTCCTCGGCTGAATGCGCATGCGCGGCATAAGCTGCGCGCATTCAGCCAGTCTCATAGGAAAGCATTCATAATGCTTTCCTATGGACGCTGGCGTCTTCTCACTGTGACAGCCACAGCCACTTCTTTTAAAAACCTGCCCTATTAGATTATATACTACAACTAGAAAAGAGTTGGCTCCAGCAAAAAACTCAAGAAATATAGAAAGCCAACAATATCAGATTTATAAAAATGACAAATTGGAAATACAAAAAATTAGCCCCCTCCCCCCAGCACCTTTATAAAACAAACTATGGTTTTATTTTCCATAAATCACTCTGTTTGATAAAATCACATAGATGGGGGTGAGGGATTATCTAGAACTTGTCTTCTAAGGGGTGTGAAAATTATTGAAAAATAATGTTCATTGAGCTGCGAAAGCCCCAGAGCAAATGCTTACAGTGTCAATAGACATCGCGGTTGCGAAGTCTTAACCTTCCCCAATCCCCATAATCAATGCTATCTAGTGGCGGTGCCCTTTGTTCCCTATTCTTTTTGATTTAGAAATTGACCCTTGGCCAGAGCATAAGAGCAGTTGTTTGTATGAGTGCTGTTTGGTTGGAAATGAACATTGCCATTTATTTCCCTTATCTCCCATATGATTTTCTCCTTAGTCTTTGTTCTCTCCATTGCCATTTTAATGACAAATATATTCGGGGCCAATACAAACCATTGTGTGGAAATCTATTCACAAACCGGACTTTACATAGGACACGAGGCCATGCGTTTAGACTGGAAGAAAGAAGATTTCGTCTAAGGCAAAGGAAAGTTTTTTTTACTGTAAGATCAATCAGGATGTGGAATTCTCTGCCTGAAGAAGTGGTTTTGTCAGAGTCCATACAGATGTTGAAACAGCTACTAGATGCATACTTGCAAAAATAGAATATTTAAGGATTTAATCTTTCAATGTAGGGTAATAACTTCTTGAGCCAAGGATAAATCTGACTGCCAGTCTGCGGTCAAGAAGGAATTTTTTTCCTTGCTTGTTGCAAAATTGTGCTTCAAACTGGGTTTTTTTGCCTTCTTTTGGATCAACAGCAAAAAACAAATGTGAGGAAGGCTGAACTTGATGGACGCAAGTCTCTTTTCAGCTATGTAACTATGTAACATCCTTTTTATATAAGGGTAACTCAAGTAAATGTGAAGTTCTCAGTGGCACTCTCTTTCAATGTGAGTTAACCCCTTAAGGACCAAACTTCTGGAATAAAAGGGAATCATGACAGGTCATGCATGTCGTGTCCTTAAGGGGTTAAAATTAGATTGTGACTTTGAGTGGTGCCTTTATTCTCCCGCCCCAGTTATCCAGATATATTCTGCGGACTACTTAACCCTATTGCAGATCCTCAGTCAAAATATAAACTTTTTTGTATAAAGTGTGTACTATCAAGATGATAATGTTAGCTAAATACTTCACCTTCAAAGGCAGGGCTAGACAGGGACAATATGTTGGCCTGTGCATTTACAAACAGTGTCTCAGTGGGAGTAGAAATGGGGGGGGGGGATTTGTGGTACGAGCACGTCCCCCCGTTTGAGCATGTTAGTTCAATGATCTTCATGGCAACGCATGTGCAGAGCCCCGTTGAAAAGCTCTCACATATGGATAAGTCCTTGCGTTCCTTTCGCACAATGCGAGCAAATGGAAAGACACTCTTAGATTTGCCGACTTGTGTCTGGTGTTTCCATAAGTGAAATCCATAGATTCATTCGTACAAACTGAATATTATATGAGTCCTGAATATTTCAGAAGGCTTTGATCAGACCAGGTTGCAAGACATTCTTTTGAAAACAACAAAGGAGGAGCTCAGACCCCTCCAACCCGCTGTTCCGTTATTGAGCTTTCTAGAGCCTTGTTCTTATTCTAACACTGTACGTGGAACGTGGCAACAGTTGAGAGCACATCCCAAGTTAATGATTTCCATCCAAGAGGCTGGATGAGTTCTGAGCTCTTGTTGATATCTATAACAGGGGGAGCTTGTCATCCGTTTCAAATCTGTTTACACTGCAGCAAAGTAAAATAAAAAGTACCACATACTTTCAGCTACATCACTGCTTTAGTAGGACACGCGTCAACGTGGATGGGAGTCTGTGATGTGTAATTACAGGGCCCAGGCAGACATCCTCATAGTATACTGCCAATTTTGCTTGATTTTTGTAGGTTAGAGATTCTCAGTACGGATCGATCAATATCTTTCCAGAGCCAATGCCGATAGATTATTGGTTAGCTTCCGGACGATGACTTGTGCCTCTTTTCTGTAAGTTTCGAAAAAGCAACATAATTTTACACGAAAGTGGCATTAAGTGAACATGCTGTTAGCAATCACACTCTTATCACTCTCGCGTACAGTGCTGTTAATAGGAATGTGATTGCCCAGTGCATTACAGTAATCAGGCATAGGTAACCTTCGGCACTCCAGATGTTTGGGACTACACCTCCCATGATGCTTTGCCAGCATTATGTGTGTAAGAGCATTATGGGGGATGTAGTCCACAACATCTGGAGTGCCGAAGGTTACATATCCTTGCAGTAGATCACTTGTCTTCAGATGAGCTCTGCATGCAGTAACTCATAGGGAGGGGTGAAGCTGCGATGTGACTAGCGGGTGGAGTTTCTGGATGCAAAAGAGTAAGTTGTTTGCAATATCTGCAAATTAGAAGACTGATACCAAAAATCAGAATTGTGCTGAATAGCTGCTCCAATAATCTGCAGAACCGATAATCGGGCTATCACTAGTTCTCGGTCTTCACACATTAAAGGACCACTTTAGTGACCCTCCCGTCGGGCTGGATGGAGAGGAAGGGCTTAAACTTACTTCAGCGCCGGGCGGGGAGCTCTCCGCCGCCTCCTCTTCAGTTGAATGCGCGGCAAGAGCTGCGCGCGCATTCGGACAGTCCATAGGAAAGCATCCACAATGATTTCCTATGGACGCTGGCGTCTTCTCACTGTGAAAATCACAGTGAGAAGTGCAGAAGCGCCTCTAGCGGCTGTCAATGAGACAGCCACTAATGGCTGGATTAACCCTAAAGTAAACATAGCAGTTTCTCTGAAACTGCTATGTTTATAGAAAAAAGGGTTAACCCTAGCTGGACCTGGCACCCAGACCACTTCATTAAGCTGAAGTGGTCTGGGTGTCTATAGTGGTCCTTTAATCCATTAGGTCATTGGCCAGAGCCGGTTAGCTAAATCTTTTATGATAGCCAACATGTTGAGATCTTATAGCAAGTTTATTTTAAATGACCATTATGTGAGGATTATAAAACATCTTAACATTTGAAATAGTCCCAGGGGCATGGTTTTTAGTGGTTAGGAACCCTAGAACTGATAGTACAACAACCCAAAAAAGTGTACATGAGGCTTTCCAATGTGCACAATTTGTGGAAGTCAAAACAATATAAGCTGAATGCACTACACACAACACACACATGCAAAAACAGATTACACACAAAAACCAAACCCAAAACACTCGGTGCTTGGATATCTCCTTGCACAAGATCATTCTGTATGTCAAAGGTGTACCTGTAATCCAAAATCTCATATAGTACAGAAAGCTCCTAGGCATATTCAATACACCCCTTAGTCTATGGTCTCTGGTCTATGTGATTAGACCACTACAGTGGCATATGCATTAAGGGGTATATGTGTATGAGCTATCTGCACTATATGTTTGTATTCTAGGTATATCCAGAGACTTTTTGAATGTCCCTGTGTAAGGAGTTTTAAGTATATTTTTGTATTTTATTAGTACAGCACTTTTTTGTTTGTAATTGGCATTCAAGATCTGATTATTTTTCTAGCAATTTACACTGTAGGTTATATCACTTAAAACACACAAGGTTTTATTCATGAAACTGATTTGTGGATAACTTATACATTGCATTCTATGTGCAAAAATATCCAAAATGAGAAGTTCCAGACTTGCAGATTTTTACTTTGGGCTCCAAATTTGCTAATTCCCATTTTAGTAAATAACCGTGTAATATGTTACCTGGACGTGCTGCTTATAAGCTCTGCTGCTGATACATACCCAGTCACTGCTTGTCATGGCTAAACTGGTTATTTTAGTTTCAAAGTTCAGAATGTTAAAAAAAAACGTTCTATTGATTTATATGGTGGGTGTTTGCACCTTATTTAGAATGGCTTTCAGACTTCACAGCAAGTTGCCCAACATACCAGCTCTGACCCTCTGTGGACTGTAACTCCCATCACCCTAGCTCTTTGCTGAATGCAGTATTGCTAGCTGTACCTCCTCCCACCGTGGCATGGTAATAATGGGGGGCGCAGACTGGATGTCTGGCTGGGAATCCTCCGACCTCTCACCTACATTCCCCCTCCCTTTCAGGCTGTGCCCCCCGGGGGGGAGACATGCCCCTACCCGCCCCCTGCACAATCATTTCGCCGAGCTGCGAGGGGAAACACATAGTGATAGCAAAAAGAATCTGATCGAACACCGAGTTACAATGAACGAACTCCCAGGAAAGAATTCTGAAAGTCTCTCATAGAGCAGCTCCAACTTCTGCAGGACCCCCAGCACCGAGCCTCCTCCAACCAAGGGACCCCCAGCACCGAGCCTCCTCCAACCAAAGGATCCCCAGCCTCCAACCAAGGGACCCCAGCACCGAGCCTCCTCCAACCAAGGGACCCCCAACCAAGGGACCCCCCAGCCCCAGCCTCCAACCAAGGGACCCCCAGCACCGAGCCTCCTCCAACCAAGGGACCCCAGCCTCCAACCAAGGGACCCCAGCACCGAGCCTCCTCCAACCAAGGGACCCCCAGCTGAGCCTCCTCCAACCAAGGGACCCCCAGCGCCGAGCCTCCATCTAAGCCCGGGACCCCCAGCGCCAAGCCTCCTCCAACCAAGGGACCCCCAGCGCCGAGCCTCCTCCAACCAAGGGACCCCCAGCGCCGAGCCTCCTCCAACCAAGGGACCCCCAGCACCGAGCCTCCTCCAACCAAGGGACCCCCAGCACCGAGCCTCCATCTAAGCCCGGGACCCCCAGCACTCTCTCCCCGGGATGGACCCGTGGCCGGTGCTGGGCTCGGTGCTGGCCCTGCTCTTGCTGTGTGGCTGGCTGTGGCCCCGGTTGGTGCTGTTGGCTCAGGATGTGATGTTCACGGTTCGGGCGGCCCGGGTGAAGGCCCAGATCCGGCGATGGCTGGGCTCCGGGGTCCAGTCTCTCCCTCAGCTCTTCCAGCAGCGGCTGCGGAACCACCCGGACCGAATCTTCATCCGCTTCCGGGAGCAGACCGTGACCTACCGGGAGCTGGGGGCTCGGTGTGGCCGGGCAGCCTCCGCTCTGCTGCCCGACCTGGCCCCGGGGGACACGGTAGCCCTGCTGTTGGGGAACGAGCCCCGCTTCCTGGCCGCCTGGTTCGGCCTGGCCCAGCTCGGTGTGGTGGCCGCCTTCCTCAACACCAACGTCAGGAAAGGGGCCCTCCGGCACTGTCTGGGGGCCTGCGGGGCCCGGGGCCTCATCACCAGCCCGGGTAAGAGGTGTTTAAACCGGGTAACTGGGTACAGAACCCCCCTCACAGAATAGGGAATGCCTGATAGTATGGGGGTACCCCCTCCAACAGGTATTGTGTATAAGGAGTACCCCAATCCTCCCTCACCCAGGCTACTGTGATTAAGGGGTACCCCGACCCTCCCAGGGTACTGTGTATAAGGGGGTACCCCAACCCAACCAGGGTACTGTGTATAAGAGGGTACCCCAACCCTCCCAGGGTACTGTGTATAAGGGGGTACCCCAACCCCCCCAGGGTACTGTGTATAAGAGGGTTCCCCAACCCTCCCAGGGTACTGTGTATAAGGGGTACCCCAAACCTCCCTGGGTACTGTGTATAAGGCAGTACTTCAATCCCCCCAGGGTACTGAATATCAGAAGTACCCCAATTCCCAGGATACCCCAGCTGGCAGTGTGAGGGATCATAAATATTGGGGTTACTGCAGTTTATGGTATGTATAAGGGGTTCCCTAGCTTATGGTGTGGGGGATATTATGTATAAGGAGCACCCTGACTTTCAGGATATCTCAGCTCACAGTGTAAGGGATAGTAAATATTGGTGTTACTTTCAGATTATGGTATCTCAGGATAATATGAACAATGGGAACCCAAGCTTATTGTGTGGCGGGATGATATGTATAGGGGGTTCCCCCAACTCATGGTAGGATAGAGACCCCCTGCTTTTATAAAAGGTACAGTGCTCATTAAATGATGGTGTAATGGGTATATGGGCTACCACCGCATGTAGTGAATATGCATAATGTGTATTGCAGCATCATTTAAGGGGTACCCTACCCAAGATAACGTGGATAAGATGTATACACCCAGTCATTGTATGAGGGCTCTGCTCAAACAACCTTACATTCCTGGGGGAGTGGGGTATAACTGCACAAATATACTGAAACTAAAGGGGGCCCTGTTTATCTAACACCAGCTTTAATTTATTCAGAGAATTTCATGAAAACATTATCAAGTCAAAAGCTTGGGAGATGAAAGTGTTTGCGGTTGTGTATGTTGTCGACACGATCTCACATCTACGCCAATGTTTCACAAAGGGGGAGACATTTACGTCAGCATTTGGTTTCAGGGTTTATATTCTAAAACTGCATATTTTAGGCCACAATAGAACAAGAAAAGATAGAAAAGTTTCAATGTGAATTCTTTTTATTTATTTTTTTACCCACTGAATTCAGCCCTTTGTTGACAGCCCTGGGGAACCCAATAAACAGGCTCACAGTGCGAGGTGGAGTTTATGTAAATCATGATTTTTAAACGTAAAGACTCATTCTAGCTGGTTGTTATTTTCAAACAGAGGAAGATTTCCTATTTAGAATATATATATATATATATTTTTTTTTAGATTAGTTAAACAAAGTTGTTTTCCTGGCACTATAGTCCCCCTTCTGTTACTTACCTGAGTCCAGCGCTGATGCCCCTTGGAGCTGGCTACGGTCTGCCTTCGCTTCTCCCCCGCTGACGCCAGCCAGTGGAGGAGACTTAATATGCATGCATGCCAATGGCCACGCTCGCATTTTTCCAAAGGAAAGCATTAATCAATGCTTTCCTATTGGGTTTTAAGTGACGGTGGACGTCCCGATGCATAGCGTGAGGATGTCCAATGTCAGACGACCAAAAGTCGCCCGGAAGTCCCTCTAGTGGCTGTCTGGTACTAGTTTAACTAAATCTTTTATGATGGCCAACATGTTGAGATCTTATAGCAAGTTTATTTTAAATGACCATTATGTGAGGATTATAAAACATCTTAACATTTGAAATAGTCCCAGGGGCATGGTTTTTAGTGGTTAGGAACCCTAGAACTGATAGTACAACAACCCAAAAAAGTGTACATGAGGCTTTCTGATGTGCACAATTTGTGGAAGTCAAAACAATATAAGCTGAATGCACTACACACAACACACACATGCAAAAACAGATTACACACAAAAACCAAACCCAAAACACTCGGTGCTTGGATATCTCCTTGCACAAGATCATTCTGTATGTCCCTGGTGTACCTGTAATCCAAAAACTCATATAGTACAGAAAGCTCCTAAGCATATTCAATACACCCCTTAGTCTATGGTCTCTGGTCTATGTGATTAGACCACTAGAGTGGCATATGCATTAAGGGGGGTATATGTGTATGAGCTATCTGCACTATATGTTTGTATTCTAGGTATATCCAGAGACTTTCTGAATGTCCCTGTGTAAGGAGTTTTAAGTATATTTTTGTATTTTATTAGTACAGCACTTTTTTTGTTTGTAATTGGCATTCAAGAACTGATTATTTTTCTAGCAATTTACACTGTAGGTTACATCACTTAAAACACACACGGTTTTATTCATGAAACTGATTTGTGGATAACTTATACATTGCGTTCTATGTGCAAAAATAGTGTCTGTCTGGTAGACGGCCACTAGAGGTGGAGTTAACTCACCAAGCTAATTATTGCAGCTTATCAAAAAGTGCAATAATTAGCTTTTCGGGATTTATGGACCTGGGAGCTGAAGTGGTCTGGGTGCCTATAGTGTTCTTTAAAAGCATTAGGAATACAAACATGTATTTCTTATACTATAGTGTTCTCCTCACTGTTTAGATTTCTTGGTCCCCCTAAATGCAAACTTTTTTGTGGGGGGGTTTCACCTTTTTCCAGCGCTTAGCTGTCTGATCTACCTAATGCAGTGTCACGCTGGCTGCTCTTTGTCTATTCATCCAATCCAGTGCTTCTCATAGAGCAAGAGTCGCATGCATGGCAAGTACCAGTCTCCTCCAATCAAATTTTCTCTATGAAAAGCATTGGTTGTAGAGCAATGTATGACTCCGTTATAACAGTGGACACCCCTCTAGTGGTTTTTAAGAAGACAGCCGCTATAGGTGTGGTTAGTCCTGCAAGGAATACATTGTCATGTCTGCAAAACAGCATTGTTTTCCTTAGCAGGACTAACGCCAGGGCCATAGCATCCAGACCACCTCATTGACATCAAATTGGCTGGGTGCCTATAGAGTCCCTTTAAGGTCTTATACTGAACTTTGAATGTTTATTTTATAACATGTTTGCTCTGAAAAAGTGTGTGTTATCACTGCAGACATAAGTTCAATTAACTTGGATCAATGGAATTCATTAACCAAAAATGTAAATATTGCATGAATCTACAGCCTCATGGTACCTAACGAATTGCTATTTAATGCAGAATAACCCTTAGCTTATAATATATCAGAAATACAGAGCTGAAAGTATTTTATTACAAGAAATCAAGTTGTTTTGTGTTTTAAACATGGTTTTATTCACACTGTCACACAGTAGTAAACCTGTGCCTAAATGTTTGTCATCACTGTGTGAATAGGGTAAGAAATGTATAAATCCTGTGGGCTTAAGTCACCAGATTTGCTTGTCGTCTCTGTGCGGAATATATTGGGGTGACTGAATAAGTGAGGTGACACCTACATACCTGTCTTTGCAGAGCTGTTTGATGCAGTTCAAGAAATCCTTCCAGAACTGCACAATATGGGAATTAAGATCTGGGTGATGGGCTCTGGAGATTACCCCGAGGATGTTATAAATCTGCAGGAACTGATGGATAAAGCATCAGATGACCCCGTACCTGCACATCTGGGAGTTCCTAAAAATCCAATGGACACTGCTATCTGCATCTTCACATCCGGTACCACAGGTAACCTTATCCCATAAGAGAAGGAGCAATTACATTATGTCAGGAATTTCTTCACTGTGCTGTTTATATTGTTGTTTATTTCTTTAAAGTTGAAATCATCTTTATTTGATAGTGTTATTTTTTTTTTTTTTTTTTTACATTTTTCTGCCCCTTTAAGCTTATGCAGAAACATTGTTGAAGGGACACTTTCTCTTAGCGTGATTTTTTTTTAATATTCTGTTCACTTATCCCTATAGTTAACAAATATGTGAAGTTGTCACTCATCATGCGGCCAGGAAGAACTCCCATGAGACCGATAATATTCAGACACTTTATAGTATGAGAGAGAAAAGGTCTAGGTTTGCATTGTATTCTTTTAGGGATTTTTGCTCCGTGATGTCAAGAAGGCTGTTTCCAGGAAATGAAGACTTGGGAGCTATTGTCATTAATATGAATTTGCTTGTTCACTTTTTCCTAGGGTTGCCAAAAGCGGCTCGTATTAGCCACTTGAAGACTCTGATGTGCTGCGTCTTTTACCAACTGTGCGTGGCGAACTCTGATGATATTATCTACATGTCGCTGCCACTGTACCACAAGTCTGGAGCCTTGCTGGGCATTGGAGGCTGCATTGGTGTCGGTACGTTTCTTTATTTTGAATCCTATGTTTATGGGGCAGGCTTTGTGCAGAGCTCTGTGCCTTGTTGTGCTAGCTCGGTGCAGAGCTCTGTGCCTTGTTGGGCTAGCTCATTACAGAGCTCTGGGCCTTGTTGGGCTAGCTCGGTACAGAGCTCTGGGCCTTGTTGGGCTAGCTCG